TATACATAATTGTTTGTAAAATAAAAAGAGATACTCCCCTCCATTCAAAAATATTTTGGGACAGATGCAGTAGTTGTAAGTTAAAATAATGTTTTATACAGAACCCAATGTGACATTGTAAACATTTCATGCAACAATTTGAACACTAAACAAAACATTAAAAAAAAAGAGATGCACACATGATCCTCTGTACGATTTTTCAAAGAGAAGATACAAACTCTTATTCTCTTAAGGTAAAATTTTTTTGTGAAAACAGTACTGAATGTGACACTGTAAACATTTCATGCAAACAATAATGTTTACACTAATAAACAAAACATGCAGAAAAGAATATATTTCACGCAATTTGTCTTTGAAAAAGCAACCCAAACCTGAAATGATCCTAGTAGTAGTACAAACTACAGGAACAAAAGGCTAGAACCTACTCCTACCCTGCTAAGACAAACAGTCATTAAAGACAAGAGCACACGCATTTGCCGAAAGAATGTTTAAGCCATTCTTTAGGGGCACAAACCCTAAAGAATGGAACAAAAGCAAGTACTACTGCTACACTAACAATCCTCAAAAGGGACGAAAGCAAGCAGGAGGAGGAGGATAAAGGATATCAGCTCCTCTCCTGTTGGGCGCTTCTCCTTGTTCTCTCGCTAATCCAACGCCCTCCTCGTCGTCTCTTGGCACTTTACCGGAGTAGTAGTACGTAGCATCTCTCGGAAGGAAAGCAACGGGAGAGAGAGGCGAGCACTTGTCGTCTGCGGCGAGACGCCGCTCGGTTTGTCACAGGAATAATCAGCCGCGCGGCGGCGGCGAGCGGTTGGTGGTGGTGTGGTTTGGGGCGTCGCGGGCGCATGGGATTTGGGGGGTGGTAGGTCAGGCAGGTTTGGCCGTGCAGGGAAAAGTGGCCGGGGGGGGGGGGGGGGGGGGGGGGGGGGGGGGGGGGGGGAAGCGGAAAGTGGGAGGCTTTTGCTGATCTTCTGTGGTGATGGCGGCTTTGTACATGTGCCACGGCCTGGTTCGTTCGTGCAGATGAAATTACACATCAAAAGGTAAATAAAAATGTTTATACCGACTTTAACGGTATAAATATACTTATATTACTTGGAAAAAGAGTGCTGCTATATAACATAATCTTGTTTTCGAACGGGATGATACCGGTTAGATATTATATCCGGTATCAAGTGATACCTAACAGGTATCAGGCGATTCTACCATGTTTCAGGTGATACTTGTGAGGTATCATGTGATACCTATTAGATATCATGCGATTCTTGCCACATAGAAGGCGATACTTGCGAGGTATCAGGTGATACATATTAGGTATCACGCGATACCTATCAGGTGATACTTGCGATATATCAGGTGATACCTATCAAGTATCGCGCGATACCTGCCAGGTATCATGCGATACTTACTAGGTATCACACGATACATACCTCGACGTCGACGCGCGACGACCACTGGCACCCCAGCACCCCTTCCTCCCTAGCTTCAACCACCGCCGCCGCTCCCTCCTCCGGCTCCGGGCCGCACCACCGCCACCCCCTCCCTCCTCTGGATCCGGCTACCACCACCGCTGCCCCTACCTCCCCTGGCTCCGGCCACCGTTGTTAGCTACCTCCCTCGGCTCCGGCCACCGCTGCCGCTCTCTCCCTCGACTCCAGCCACCGCCACCGCCACTGCCCCCCTCCCTCAGCTCTCTGGCTCCGGCCACCGCCGCCGCCCCATCCCGCCGCTCTCTTGCTCCAACCACCGGCGCCTCGGCTCCGACCACCGCCGTCGCTCTCTCCCTCGGCTCCGGCCACCACCGCCACCCCCTCCCCCGCTCTCTAGCTCCGGCCACCGCCGCTGCTCTGCCCCCGCCATCGGCTCGGCCATTGCGCCTCGCGCTCTTGCAACTGATGGAGGTGGAGGGGAAGCTATCCTGTTAGGGCAACGGTATCCCGTCTCCTAGCATTCGTGTGGAAAAAAGATAACTAGCCGTAAATTTGAGTATTCATGTTGAATCGGACAGTCGGACATTTGTTACTTTACCAAACTAAACAATCGCTAACAAGTGATTTTGTACTGAGACTCTGTAGAAAAAACAAGCATTTACTATTACTTGGAGTACGATGAATTGGATGTGTTGTCCATCCTTCTTTGATTTTCCATCTTTTGGTCTTTTTTAAAAATTTATTCTACAAATAGACTAAAAAAACTTATTTTAGGAATTAAACATTTCACGGCGCCAACTTCATTAATGTTGTGGTCCAATATAACGATGCTAATAGAGTAAGTCACTAATTTGAAGGTTGATCTGTTTATAAATATTTTTTTATTACAAATAGTTTTTTTTAAAAAAAAGTACAAATAAACCCTCGGTGTCAACGATATTGGTGTTGTCTCTCTTTAAATTATTTAGCTTCCAACTAGGGATGAGGGGGACGATGCCAACGATCATAGATGCCGTCATGTTGGACCGGCGCCATGAAAAAGTCCACTTTTAAAATAAGTTTTTTTATTGGTCTATTTATAGAATAAGTTTTCTAAAAGAACCAAAAGGTGAAAAACCCAGTCCATCATCTTATGCAAATTACTACTCTTTCATCACTTAGTATAAATCTTATCTAAAAATCACTTTTATAACGAGAAACCTAAAAAATGAACATAGTAGATTTCAAGTAGGCATTTCACACCGTTCTTAGGGTTCAAGGTCATGGCTCCACATGCGTGCCGTGGCGTGTGACATCCCCGATCGATAACTTATTTAACGATAGCTTGCACAACTCAGACGATGTTAATTAAAGATATGAGAAGCACTGTCAATTCAAGCTAACTAGCTGGGTGGCCTGCGCAATTGCGCGGCTAGCACCTAAACAAAATCATATATTTTTAGTATGATTTTACTTAAAATTTATTAAATAGCTATCTCGTTGTCTTAAGACTTTGAAAGACCAAACCTTATCATCCCTGTGTTTATAGTTATATAGTTTTTAAACGTTACATCAGTTGCTATCCCTTACTTTTGTCATCTTCTTCTTTATTTACTTGCTCGATCTACCACTATTTTTATTTATTCTCCTTGGAACCTTTAAAAATTGGATCAAATAATTTTTAGAGTTTATTGTCTTGTTGGGTTTCTTTTTATAAATTTTAGAAGTCTCGTCAAACGCTGCCATTATACTCCTCTATGGCCCATTCATTGTCTTTTCTTTTTATTGTCATTGGGTTTTTAAAATTTGAACATAATTATCGTCCGGGTTCATTTTTTTACTTTCTAGAAGTCCCGCCAAACCATCAGCGGTTTTGCCATTGTACTCCTCTATGGCTCGCCCACTGCCTCCTTTTTTATTGTCATTGAGATTTTAAAATCGAACATGATTATTATTAGTTTTTTTTTACTTTTTAGAAGTTCCAAACCTTTGAAAATTGGACCTTGTAGTCTTTAGTATATTATTAGTTGAGTTCTTTTCTTCCTTTTTCTCCTATTAATATAAGAATTTTTAGCCACCATGATGAATATGGTGACTCCTTTTAAGGTTGAGCGGCCCGCACAATTGTATGGCTAGCGTCGAAACAAAGTTATATTATTCAAAATTATATTCCCTATTGTCCCTCCACTTCCTATTCCTATGCTACCACTCCACTCGAATGTCTACCGCTACTATTCTTTATTAGGCATGTTAAATCGAATTGTCATATAATTGTGTGGTTTTAGAATCTGCTATTTCTTTTATATGCAATACATTGGTAGGTGTGTAGATTTTCTTCGTATAGTACAATTAATCTGTACCATTATAATCTAGATCTGTCATAATCTAATAGTGTAAATAGTTATTGTTTTCTTTTGTTAATATGATATTTCTAGAACTCCAAATCAAACTTGGTGATATTTTTTGCTTCTGTTAACATAATGTATATCCTCATTGTCCCTTTTTAATCTGACCTGTGGATTGATAGGATGCTTTCACATATATACATGTTTTAAGATTAACAAACAATTAACGGTTCCATCGTTAACGACATATTTGCAAAAAAAAAGTAATTTGTGAATAAAATTTTTATATTTTCAAGGTTGTTTAAAAGCAAAAGCTGAAAAATACACTTCGATGAAAAAAAATCTTTAAATCAGCTTTATATTTAAAGTTGAAAATTTAAATTTTGGCTGATAAGTATAAGCATAAGTGAAAAGATGATGTCCTAAAATTATTTTAGCAAGTAATATATAAAGCTTAATGTGTGAAGATGTGCTTTGGCCAGATGCCAACTGGTAACTCGGAAGATGCATGGTCCAACAATGGCTTGTGTGTTTACTCCTGATTAGTTTGCCATGAGCCTCTGCTTTTCACAGTAAATCTAGAGTTCTAATAAGCACAGGAGCAGAGCATGAAGGGCCGGTCAGCACTTAGCTCCTGCACAGCTGCAATTCTACTCTTTAACGGTTTCATTAAAGAACAGGAAAAATTCACGCGGCTGCAATCCTACTCCTTAACGGTTTCATTAAAGAAAAAAATTCCGATTCTAATCTGCCTGATTCCAAATATGAGTAGTAGATTACTATATTTCATCTACAACTTATTATAATTTAAAAACTACAATTGCACTACATATATATAGCTATCAATCTACACCGTTATAATTTAGATCCACTACGATCTAACGGTTTAGAATTTTTCTCTCTTTCTCCGATTAATGTGAGAATTTATAGCCCCCACAACAAACGTAATGTCTTCTTTCAAGGTTGTCTTAATAATATAATAGATAGATTAATGCAAAGAGGAATAGTGTGCAGAATGTCTTATGATTGCTACACATGAGAACCAATAACTTTCATCTCGCAGAGTATCTAACAAATGGTTAGTACTATAACAGATGGCCACGAGATCATCTCATTGTGTCCGGCCATATATATAAAATAGAGAACGCTCTACTAACTCCCTTTACATGCCATGTTCTTGTTGCCTACCACTTGAATGAAAATACTGGTGTGCCCTGTTTTATATGACATCCAGACGGCAGACAAGTTTTGAACAATTGAACCGTGCCAAATTTTGGTTTGATTTCCATGCGCTTCTTAAATTAGGCACACACAAGCCATGCCATGCCATGCCATGCCAATACCATGGCCAATCTGCAGCTTTGGACACAGTACCATCACGTTATTACAAACTGCCCATCCCTAATGTACACGAGGACAAAACCAGCATTGCTTTGCTCCCCATCCGGCAATGGCTGCCACCATGGAAGAAGGCCCAGCTTCTCCAGGGTCAGCTATTGCAGAGTGTACATCACTCACTGCTCCTCTTGCTCTTCCTTGGGTTGTGAATTGATGGATTGGTGCTCCTGCCATCTTTTCACAAGCCACCACATGGCATGTCCAAGTCAATCCATCCATGATTGGCCACTGCATCACATGATGATTAAAGTATTAATCACATCTCACCCTGCACCAAAATCCTGAGTAAGCATTTTCATGTTACATTACTGTTCACCCTATTCCCACTATAGTACTCCCTCTATCCCATAATATAAGAGATTTTGATACTCCCTCCGTTCTATAATATAAGAAATTTTAACAATTTACTTACACTGTTTGACCACTCGTTTTACTCAAAAAATTTGTGCAAATATAAAAAACGAAAAGTTGTGCTTAAAATACTTTGAATAATAAAGTAAGTCAAAAAAATAAATAATAATTCCAATTTTTTTTGAAATAAGACGAATGCTCAAACAGTACAAGCAAAATGTCAAAATCCCTTATATTAGTAGACGGAGGGAGTACTACTAGTACTTCTACTACTCTCATCAGTGATTAAGTTAAATCACTGTGCAAACAGCAAGATTGAGAGTGTTGAAAAAAAAGATTCATTTTTGCTTTACCGACAAGAACAAGACTGGCAGTCCAGACAGACATGCTCGTAGTCACAGGGCGTGTGTGATGGAGCTTGGAATCTTGATTTCCAATGTCAAATGTCACATGGAGATGGAGTAGACTATGCTTTGCCCCTTTGCTTGCTTGCCACTGGCACATGCAAATGCATCTCATTTGCTGCATCGTTGCATTGCATGCATGGATCTTCTTGAGATCCCAAAAGATGCATGTGTGTGTGCACTGCAGAGACAGCTCTTTCTTTCTATCAAATCCATCGGTATCCATCCGTCCGTCCATCTCATTTTTTTGGGTCTCTCCAAAACCCAAGGTCTCTGCTTCTGCTCTCTTGGTCTTGGCCAGCGAGCCCGGGTGTTGTTGTGTTCTTTATTGCAAGGTCAAAAGACACGCGAATCCAATGTCTTTTTTTGGGAGCAAAGGTCCACGACCACCATGGATACTACTGATAGTTGGATACTGTTGGATATACTCTTTGATGCAAAGATGCTACCATTAGCTGATGATTAATCACCACGGTGGTCTAACTTTCACAGCCTCTTTTCAGCTTTTTACCGACGAGTGCATTGCACTGTTGCTGTGTTAGGTGTTCTTGGCCATTACTACTACTACGAGTGCATAGTACTACGGCCCCGTTTGGTAGGGCTCCAAACTCCAACTCCCAGCTCCAAACTCCTACTCCAGTTGGAGCTAGCTCCTATTGGAGTTACAGACCCATCAAAAGTGTTTGGCAAACTTTTAGCTCCAGATCTGAAAAAAAAAGAAAAAAAAAAGAATCCCCGCCGCCAAGCGGCACGCCGCCGTCAGCCGGCCAGCCCCCGCGCCGCCGCCAGCCGGCCAGCCCCCGCGTCGCCGCCAAGCCCACGCGCTGCCGCTGAGCCCGCGCGCCGCCGGCCAGCCCCCGTGCCGCCGCCAGGTCGCGCGCTGCCGGCTAGCCCCTGCGCCGCCGCCCGCCGACCAGCCCCCGCGTCGCCGCCAAGCCCACGCGCTGCCGCTGAGCCCGCGCGCCGCCGGCCAGCCCCCGTGCCGCCGCCAGGTCGCGCGCTGCCGGCTAGCCCCTGCGCCGCCGCCCGCCGACCAGCCCCCGCGTCGCCGCCGAGCCCGCGCACCGTCGGCCAGCCCCCGCGCTGCCGACCTCGCACGCCTCCGCCGAGCCCGCGCGCCGCCGCTAGCCCGCACGCCGCCGCCGAGCCCGTGCTCCGCCGCCGCCAGCCTGCCCGCCGCCGGTTGCCGCCGAATCTTGCCGGAGAAGATGGGAGAGGAGAGAGAGGATGGGAGGAGGAGGAGGAGTTTAGGGGTAGTTCAATGGCATTTCTGTGTAAATACATCAAAATTTAAAAGGGTAGTGGGTCTTTTGAAGTGGAGTGGAGCTGTGGAGCAGCAAAAACCCAGCTCCATCCCCGTAGTACAAATTTGTGGAGCTGCTCTGCCAACTCCGCTCCAAAAAACAAAGAATTTGTACCGTTTGGCACAGCTCCAGCTCTAGGTAAGTTGGAGTTGGGAGCTGGAGCTGTGCCAAACGGGGCCTACGTTCATGAAGAGTTCCATCATGTAATAGGAGCATGTGCCTTTAAGGTGTAAATAAACCAGCTCACGAATGTATTTAGTGTCAATGTGTCATGACCTGGTCACCAGATCTTGTGAAGTCTCAAGAACAGTAACCTACCCAACTCACCCTTGAACAGCTACAGTATCAAGGGGAGACAGAAGTGCTGAAAAATATGAATGCATTTGTCATCTGAGTATGCTGTCATTAATGCTAACCGGTTTCTCGACGCAGAAAAAACAGTACAGTACTTGGTTTTCAAGCAAGCTGCACCAATGAACATCTCATCCCCAAATATTTTACTGTACATAAGCAGTTACTGTACTCCAAAGTAAAAAAAACCGTGTCAGAAGGAAGATTTGACGCAGAAAACCATACGCTTTGATGACAGAAAGCCTCCAAACCCATCACAATTACCAACACAAACACACGTCGCTTTGCTTTAAAGTGACCAAACCGCCAGCATAATCTACTCCTGCCTGCGACTGCGAGAAGAACACGGCGTATCTCACACACGCACACCGGCCGCGAATCCTGGGCTTGCTTCGCTTCTCCCGTAGCAAAAGCGGAGCGAAGGGTCAGTGCTGCTACGTGCGGCTAATCTTTTTACTCATTTTTTACACGGCGATTGAGACAGAGAAACGCGAGAAGAGAAAGAAATCTAAAGAGAAAGGTTACACGAGAAGAGCCAAAGGGAAAGCCAGATACCTTGTGTGGCTTTGCTGCTGCTGCTGCTGCTGCACGCAAGACGCAACGGAAGAAAATGGCAGGAAAAAGAGAGGGGAAAAGCGGCGAAAGGCCGAGTTTCGCAGCCATCTTTTGTGCCAGAAAGACGAGCGTTTTGTGGATAAATTTGCTGGTAGTAAACAGGATCGTGCGTGCGTGGGCTCTGGGACTTGGGATGCCGACGCTTCGGATACGTGGTGGTGGCACTTGGTACAGTGCGAGAGAACTCTCCAAAGCGGCATTGGATTCGACGGCCACCAGCGCCCACCGGCGACTTCCTTTGAGTTCATCCTTTCATGAATCATGATCACCCATGACACTAGTTGACGGCAAAAGAAATACTAATACTAATAAAAAGAAAGGCGTCAAAAGTCAAAGCTGAGGAATTGAACTGCTTTTGGTGCAATTTGTACTACTACTACTGCTGTACTCCAAGTGTATGAATTAGGCTGTGTTTAGTTCAGCGCAAAGTTTAGATTTTAGTTGAAATTGGAGATAATATGACTGAAAAGTTTGTGTATGACAGGTTGATGTGATGGAAAAGGAACTTTGGATCTAAACACAGCCTTAGTAGTATGAAGTATGAATTAGTAGTATGAAGTATCACTATCACGTTCCCAAATGTGGCAATAGGAAGCGTCAAATCATTTGCAAATGTGCCTCCTCGGAAGGGAGGACGGAACACCGAACACGATCTCTCAACTGTAGCTCATCAAAACGTCCACTGTTACGTCTGCTCCACCGAGTACAGTAACAAGAACAGGACATTGTCTCAATCAGAAGAACGTCATGGTCCTGCAGAAGTTTATCGCCATGGTCCAGCAGAAGTTTTTGCCTGGAAGCGTTTGGCAAAGCGAGCAGACGCTCTCTGGCTCCCTGCACGCCCATTCCATAGACGGGCACACACTACACACAGAACACAGAGGCATTCACTTCGCCTACCAACCTTCTTCAGTTCAGATACACACGGGTAAATGAAGATGATAAATGCGTCCTGGCACGCAGTGACGGTGTACCCCTCCCTCATGTCAGCCTCTCACTTTTGCATATACACCACCATGTTGGGCAGAGAGACGCTTGATGAGTATAGGTAGGTACATGCAGTAGTAGTACAGTACTCCACTATCCCGAAAGGTATGTGTAAAGTTCAGGGTATTTATTGAACCCTGTCTCGGCGAACACATTTGGACAAAATCGACCGGAAATCCTCCAACGGCTGTATCTGCATAAACAACAGAGCTACTACAGTCGACGTTTGCAAGTGCCAAACAATGAACAGTATCGTATTGCAACTTGCAAGAAACGAATTCTTCTATCGGAACATTTCTACGACTATGGTTACAACCATTTCTCTTACTTATAAACACTAGCAGCAGATACGCACCTCGAATGAGTGCGTGCTCCTTTGTCTACGTTAGCATCATCTACTCATCTACACAAGAGTTCATGAATGGGATAACAACTGCAGACTAAGCTGGTTAATCTGATCGATGCTTTGCATTACCAAAATTGCAGTGTAGAGTAAGTTTCAGAAGCTCATCTTCGCTCCCTGGCAAGAGGCTTCGCCTTGCGCCTATGCCCGAAGCTGTTAACAAGGTCTTTGCGGGCGCACACCGGGAACAGGTGGACACCAGGCATCCTTAGACGCCTCAGCACATAAGGGAAGCTCAGCTGATCCCGGGACGTGAACCTAACCACTTCGTTGAACCAAAGGCACATGAAGAGGTTGGTCAAAGGGGCATGATCCCTCACAATAACTGAAGCTTCTGCGAGAGCTGTAAAAAAGGGCAGAAAATTCATTAACTAACTTATCAGTTCAGAGGACCACTTGCAATTGCAAGGACATATCTGTTCATTTCGGACAAGTATGATTTGAGGCGAAACATTATGTTACTTTGGGCGGTGGTTCTGGTTCTACTTAGCCCACCTGTGGGGTAACTGGGCTTTAGACATGCCGTGTCCTGTATCACTGCCTCACTGGACTGGACACTGGTTCAAGTGCAGAAAGGAGCTCGCTTTTATGCTAAACGCATGCAGCCTGGCCAACTTTATAGCTTATGCTTTTTGCACAACTACAGCTGTGCAGTAACACCAACCAAAGTTATCTACAACACCGGCTGTTATTCTACTTATTTAAGTGAGCCCCAGCATTTTAATTTCCTGGCCCACACTGTAAATGCTATAGAAATGACTTCTCACATAAAGGGCCTGTTTGGCACAGCTCCAGCTCCACCCCTCCTGGAGCTGGAGTTCAGCCAAACAGTTTCAGCTCCACCAAAACTGGGAGTAGAGCTGGGTGGAGCTCTTTCACAAAATGAACTAAAGTATATGAATGGCAAACCATCTTATGTTACACGATAGAAAGATCACTAACTGGGACATGAGGAAGAACATAACCTAAGAATCTGAATTCTGAAGGTGATTAGTATTGAATTAAGACTTAGTTGAGTGTGAGTAGTGTTTAAAGATGGTGATCCAACGAAAAAAAAAAATAGCTACATAGCCATGTAGAAGTTGCTGTATATCGATATGTGAACTAAAAAAACCAAATTGGAAAAAAAAACATTAGATCAGTGCCAATCAAAATTGGAATATTATACAAATGCAAGACATGGTACAACTGTAAGAAGGAAATAAAAATAGGCACACCAAAAGAAGACTAGAAGCGAACCTTTCTTTCCATTGAATCGTTTTTCATCTGGAATGCCATCTTGTCGGTATTGATCCAATTGTATTTTAACTTCTTCCGGAGTTGCCTTGTGCTTCTTAACAATTGCTTTACCTTCATCATACAAACTACTCCTAGCTCCATGTTCAGATAATGCTAAAGAAGAGTTTGAACGCCACAGAAGGGCTTCAAGGACTCCAAGTGGATCTCTCCGAAACTGAGATTTTGAATCCACCCAAATTGAGTATCTTGCCATAGGGAAAAGGCGATGACTTATCAGCTGAAGAGAAAAAAAAAATCACCAAAACGGAAATCAGCTTTGCAAAATGAATATCCTACATTGACATCATCAAAACTAAGATATTCCTACGATAAGCTCCCTCAGAATCTTTCTTTTCACGGACTACCAGAATATGAAAAAAAAAACTGAATATGAAGAGTTGAGCCAATATTATCCTGCAGCTAAGAAGATAATTTACACATAGTTTTCAAATGATACCTTGGGAATTTTCCCATTCAATCGTTGATCTGAGAAAGGAAGATCTCTCACAAGAATAATCCGCCAAAGGCCAATCATGAGGTTTTCACCAATCTTGTTCCCTTCCTCCTCTTGAGCTGCACGAGTGACTTCATCCCAGAATGCAACATAGCAAACCTAGAAAAACACTAAGTGCCTATGAAGTATGAACAAACCTGAAAGGACCAGAATAAACTAACATCGAACAAAAGACAATAGCAAACCTTCTTTATAGATACTTCTGTCATTCCTATTGGCTGGTGAAGGTCATCCCCTCCACCAAATGCACAAGTGGCCACAACGACACTACAAGACCTCATATAATCTTTATCAACATCAGAAACTTTGAACCCTCCATTTTCGTTATAGAAGCCACAATGCAAAGTTGTGAGTTCCTTCATCTGTAGAAGTCAGTGTAAAGCATAACATGAGAGTGGTAGGTAATAAACAATATTGCCGTAATTCTATTGCACGTCATGTAGCACCAATTCTGATGAAGTTTCAGAGCAACTAAAACACAGTTTGCATAATTTTCAAGAACAAAATAAGGCCAAAACAAAACCTTGAAACTTTCTTCTCTTTCATTTAGAGTCTGGTATCCTGTGAATGAGTTAAAACGTGATATCTCTGTTCGAGATGAATCATCATCACCAAGATGCAGCAGACTGGACTTGTACACCACTTTCTGGACTGACAGATTTTGTTCAGGAACTTCAGGAAGTTCCAGATTCTGCAACTTCTCAGGACCAAGAATCTTCAAGCATGCTGTCAATGCAACATCACTGATTCGTTAGCAAATCATGTGTTTTTAACAACCACATTTTATCGAAGTGTAAATGAACAAAAGCAGCCAAAGGAAATGGAAATTAAATTTACAATGATCAGAAGAATACATGGGGTAGAAATGCTATCAGATAAGAGATTGCAGGTGCAGTTTATCCTCTTTTATGGAATTCCCTCCTCCCTAAATTAGTAAATCAGGGCATCAGCAGCATCAGCTAGACACTAGGTTATAGTCAAGCTGAAATTTATCTCAAGCCTTGGAAACCCAGATACTTAAAACAAGTATTGGTCAAAATCTTGATCTAGGAAAGCTATAAATACTAGTAGTAGAAATTTACCAGTACTACTGTGCAGTAGTACCATGAAGAACCCATCTAGTTGATTGATGTTGTTTCAGTGAAACCCTCCATCAACTCCTCATCTCTAAAACTGAACAATGCACACTCAAGTCGACTCAAGAGAATGAGCTTGACATTCCTCCAGTCACAACCTACCGCATTTCATGCTTAAGTCGGGACTCCATACTTCACATTGATGAGCTTAGTCATTCTGTTAGATACTTATTGACCAACTTGCAATTATTTACCACGTTAGAGCCGCTAGGCAATACATTGCAAATAGACACCATTGACAACACATAATGCAAAGCAGAAATAAACATAATCTCTTTAACTATTCGAGTATTTTATAAAAGTACAGTCAGACTAAGCAGGTCAACATTATACTCTGCTGCTACGACCATTGCCTAATTAAAAACTATTTTCACTACAATACAAACTGAGATGTCAATATAATACAGTATATATCCACAGTTCACATCCAAACATCGTTGAATCCGAGTATCAAACGAACAGCCAAACTAAGACGAAGTTTTATCCACGCCAATTTAGGGTTTAAGGATCGGGCATAAACTCACGCTTCCGGGCGCCATCGGCGGCGCGGACGGCGCCGGTGTGGTCGACGCGGGTAAGGTTGGCCGCCGGAGGCGGCGTGGGGGAGGACGGGGAGAGGCGGTAGGACTCGTAGAGGAGGAGGGAGACGGCGAGGGTGGCGAGGAGGAGCGGGGCGCACAGCCGCGCGGCGCGGCGGAGGAGGCGGCGCCGCGCGGCGGAGGCCGGGTGGCGGTGGCGCTTGCGGCGGACGCGGACCCGCACCCTCCCCGAGGCCTCCTCGTCGTCGGAGACGGAGATGGAGATGCCGTGGATCAGCGACGACGACGATGACGGCGACATGGACGGAGCGGAGCTCGGGGCTCCGGGGAGGACGAGACGGGCCGCCTCCGGTGGTGGGCTCGAGCGGCTGGGGCTAACCGGTTTCGCCCAGCGCGAGTCGGAATGGCTCGGTCGGGCTTTGTACGGATCTGTCGTTTTGAGTAGGGGTGAAAAAAGCAACGGATTTTTTTTTGAATATCTAAAGTGGCTCAGTTTATACGTTTTAATATGTTCATATTAGTTGTTCAATTTATCATTTTAGTTTAAACTTATTCTTAGACCCCACTTTAAAGCCACATGGCTAAACATAATCAACAACTCTCTTGATAAATACTCCCTTCGTTTCAGGTTATAAGATGTTTTGATTTTGATTAAAGTCAAACTGCTCCAAGTTTAATAAAGTTTATAGACAAATATAATAATATTTACATTACCAAATTAATTTTATTAAATTAATAATTAATCATAGTTTTATAATAAATTTATCTTGGATCGAAAATATTACTAGTTTTTCTATAAACTTGGTCAATTTGAAGGAATTCATCTTATAACCTAAAACGGAGGGAGTAACACTTATACACCTCTCATTCGCGCATATAAGATTTTATTTTAGAAAGTTTTACCATTCACGTTGAAGTTAACACTAAATAGTTAATTTTATAAGTATGAATTTTTTAAATACGTTTACCCCCTTTTTATGAAAACAAAAGGAAAACGTTTCTGATTATTTCCGATCGCTTTTATAGCTTCGGCGACACGGATGCAGTTACCATTTACGACTTACGACTTGAGAGGAGGAAGCAAAATTTATGGTTCTTTTTGGATTTGAAACAATTCGAGACAACTTCACAGATGGACAAGATAGAGCATGCTTGACAGAATTGTGCATATTTGCATTTGATCTTTATGGTAGAGCCGCCATTTTCTATCTAGTTTCCCTACAAAAAGGCATTTCCAACATGGTAATTGGCTAAAAAGAAGTATAAAAAATACTCCTACTCTGCATTCAGAATTCAAGACCTTTATAATTGTCTTATGTGACTATATGAGGATGTAAAGTTGAGCAGCTGTTCTCATCAGATATCAGGAATGATTTCAAGATAATTGCCTTTTGTGACCTCAATAAAATTGCTTACAGAGAACGAAGATTACAAGTCTGTGGTGAGGAGCACATAATTTGCACAGAAAATAACAGAGAAGGGCCAATACAAACTGTGGAATGTAAAACTTTTAAATGAGTCTAACAACAAGGTTGTGCATACTCTAACGCTTTGAGAACTGCGGGCGCTTGCGTGCCTTCTTAAGACCAGCCTTCTTCCTTTCAACTATACGGGTGTCTCTTGTCAGCAAACCTTCTCCCCTCAGAGTAACTTTGTTTGCGGTGCTGATCTTCACCAGTGCACGGGCGACGCCGAGGCAAATGGCCTGGGCTTGGCCCGAGAGACCACCCCCGTGAACTTTGACGAAGACGTCGTAGCTGTTCTCGAACCCTAGGGTCACCAGGGGTACCTTGCAGTACTCCATCCACATTGGATTTCCTTGCAAATACTCCTGCGGATTTTTAATGTTTGAGCAGAGAGATTCACAAAAGATATTGTATGCTTGTGCACACCATTACACCAATTCCAGGCCATTAGTGTAAACTTGAAAGCTAGTGTTTTGGTCTATGTGACCACAATTTATAGATAGTTCACAATAATTTAAAACTTATGCCCAAAACCGTAATTTGATCAATATCAATGTTAGGTGTAGTTTAGGAGACTAATTATTTTAATAGAATATTCAATTTTGACTGTAGTTAATATATCTGCATCATCGAATAGTTTAATCCTCGATAAAATGATCAAAGACACTATATGCATTATCATCGTTAAAACCTCTATGTGGAGTGGACAACCAGTATTCGTTATTTTCGACAATGTGAAGCACTGAAGCAAATGGTGCCAATCAAGGCATACCCTGAGAGCATCCTAAGCATGCAAGAGTGCAAGACTAGATTAATCATCTGAGTAACAGAACAAGAAGTTTGCACAACCTCCATCAAGTACGCAAAACTAAACTTTATGTTCACTGTTATATTGAAGTTTCCTGATACATCATCTGTGTGACAAAACAAGCAGTTTCCACAATCTCCCTCAAGCATGTGTAAAGCTAAACATCAATGTCTACTTTTGTTAGTTGAAGTCTCCATTTTACTCTATGGTGAAGTTTTACTCCTTTTGGTGCATTGCATCCAATACCCGATTTCTGAAGCATAAATTGTGCATTCAACCAAACGCAGGATGAAATTAGAGCCTACAGGCTACATCCCCGAGCCCAAGATAATGCCGCTGCGATGGTTTTACGAGATTAGCAAGCGCGCATTTCTCGAGTCGAATCGGAAAGTAAGCGCGCAGGGCACGGGCACACACCTTGGCATCGCGGAAGTTGATGAACACCCTTCCGGTGCCCTCCTGGAGCACGACGCGGGCGATGGCCGTCTTGCGGCGGCCCGTGGCGGTGATCCGCTGCGCCGCGAAGCCCCCGGGAAGCCGCTGCTTCACGTACTTTCGCAGCGCCGGTCCGGACAGCTCGTCCTCCACGGCCACCACCTCATCCGCCCCGTCCTCGGCGGGCGCCTCCTCCACCTCGACAGGCTCGGCGGCCTCGGCGGCGGAGGCGGCGAGCGCGAGGCGCGCGGCGCGGCGGGAGGAGGAGGAGGAGGGGAAGCGGAGGTGGAGGAGGGGGAGCGGGTGGAACTTGGAGGTGGAGGGGAGGGAGAGGTGGGAGAAGGCGGTGGTGAGGGAGAGCGCCATGGGAGGGAGAGCGTGTGCGGGGGAGAGAGATGGATAGGCCGCCGCGGCGATGGGAGAGGGATAAGCTTTTCCGCTTCTCGCCTGAATTTCTCGGCGTGCAGTGGTGGCGTCTCCACCGGTAGATTGGGAATCAACGACCGAGATTGTCTGGGATTAGGGAACAGAGGCTACAGGCCTACAGCCTACAGAGTGTGGTACAATGGCCCCGTTCTTCCTAATCGGCTGGATTATTTCCATTCGATTGCTTATTTATGTTATTCTACCGAAAATGTGATTTCCAAAAATATCTTTTTAGAAATGTCCACTGGCATTACATCAAACTAAACAATCTTACATCGGACATGCTTTGACTATGCAAGCATACAAGTATTAGAGAATAATAAAGTGAAAAAAATACTAGGGAATTACATTGACCAACAGAAACAATAACCAAACAAACAAGAGAAAGGGAAAGAAGAGGTGCTTGACATTTTTCACCTGTAAGATCTGATCACCGAACCAAATAGATAATAACTTAAGCTAGCCTTACAACTGAACTGCATCCACTTCACATGCAACCGTGAAGTAGCAGGGTCTTCCCCACACACAAGCCGTCTTTGTTTTCTTAACGATCGAAGGTTATGGTTGCCTATGGCCACGACATGAGATTGGGTGAGTATTGAATCTCCATAAGGTCACACCTGCATCGGAAAAAAAAATGTTATCTAATATTGAGCTATGTACTCAGTATGTTCGGTTGTTTTTGCTGCGGATGTGCGGGAATGTGGGATGTAGAAGAATGCTAAGAGTAAGGATAATAATAGAGCTCACTTTCTACTATTAGCCAATCTTAAAACCAACACATATAATAGATTAGCTATAAGGTTGACTACAATTTTCTTTTCCTCTCTCTATCTCTCACTTATATAATAGATTAGCTATAAGGTTGACTACAATTTTCTTTTCCTCTCTCTATCTCTCACTTATACATTAATTGTATTTGTCTTGGAGCTTGTGTTAAGCTAGCTCTTGCATGAGAGCCAACACTCTTAACTTTTTGTTACATCTCTCCTCCACATAAGCTTATAGTAGGCTTATAGCTCAGTATTATACTTGCTCTAAGGAGAGTGCCCATTCCTTATAGTAGTTGTAGCATAACCATATAAATAACAACCAAACATGCCTTCTCGAAGATTGGACGGTTTGTAGCCCCCATAGAGTGTCTTTGAAGTGGCACGTTGTAAGAGAATGACATATTGATCACCATAGATAAATAGTATGACATCGGTATTACTATATTGTTAGTCTTTTGCTTTCATCGGTAACTGTTGCAGTAATTGAATGCCGTTGCAAGTTACATCCATTTTGAAAATTTTACAGCCACTACGACAACAATCATATCCGAACACGTCTACTTACAGTTTAACCAATAAAAGTATCTCTTGCTATAGGTTATTTTCGAAATACGTTTAAAAGGAAACCAATAAGGAATAGCATTGCCATGAAATCATACAGAGGTCGGCAAAGTAGCTAAGTTTTCACCAACATTATTTTATATGAATGAATTAGCATGATAAAACATTTAAATTATTAGTAGCAAAGTATTGGAAAAAGCAAAGCCATGCTCCATATTATCCATGATGGTCAGAAATGGTTAGAATCGGTAGCATCTCTTCGGAAACGATGCTCGATCGGCCGGTAATTGACCATATTTATCATTTAAACTACTCAATATCGACATTAATACGATGCAGAAAGAAATTATAAAAAACAAAATTTAAAAATAGCTAAAAACGGTACCCCTTAAAAAAAGGCGCCCGATCGATCGGGAATTTCCGTGACCGTTTTCATCGAGAAAATGGACATTTAGCCACTTTCAAAAAGCGGTTTCGCTAGAATGCCATCCCGAAAACGCGTTTCGCTAAAATACCAATATGAAGCATGCACTCACCGCCACTTTGCCATTTTGGCCATTTTGTGCATTTCAATTGCATTTTCGTTGGAATGTAGCTTGATGGGACCAAATTGCCCTTGCTCGCCGGCTAAAAGAGGATCGATCCAGTTCATGGGAGGAAGACAACGAGCGCGGCGAGGTGGTCTACGTGGCTGAAATGGAGGAGGCGGCGAGCGAACACATGGCGGCGGCGGCGGCAACGATGGCGACGCGGGCATGGCAACGCCGCAGCGAAGGGAGATACACGACCTCCACACCGCCGACGACGACGCCCTGTCCGCCGACGAAGAAGCTGACGATGGTGACGGCCATGACGATGGCCGGGATGCCGAACCCCCACCCCCACCAGCGTGCCAATGTCGATGGCCGGGATGCTCGACGAGGCGGAGGCGAGGTCGTCGAGGTGGAGGACTCGGCGGTGCTTGTAGACGAAGCGGCGGCGGCGGCGGCGGCGGCATCCTCGAGGTCGGGCGGGTGGAGGCTGCCCCTGCCCGCCACCGCCATACGGCACCACAAAGGCGGAGGCAAGGTCGCCGAGGTGGCCTCGTGGCAGCGGAGGCTTGCGCTCCAGCTCGCTAGCAGCTGCTGCCGCCTCTCCACAGCGTCCCTCTCCGCCTCCTTCGCCGGCAAGGCTCGCCAGCAGCTGCTGTTGCCTCTCCATCGCATCCCCCTTCGCCTCCGTCACTGGCGAGGCCATGGGGCTACCCCTTCACTTCCGTCGCCGGCGAGGCCATGGGGCCGCTTCGAAATCCTAGCCGCCATCGTCGACCGCGGCGAAGTGACCTCAGAGATGTCGTCGTTGACCGCGGCGAGGTAGTCGGCGGAGGTGGCGAGGTCGAGGGAGGGGAAGATGTCGGAGGACTCGCCGGCCACCTCACCGTCTAGGCTATCCCATATAGCGCTGCTCTAGACGCCATCCATGGAGGAGGACGAGGAGGAAGACGGTGAGCTGCTCGTGGTGGACATGGAGATGACCGGCGAGGACGAGCTCCTCTCCCTCAACGGCGGCGGCGGAGGACATGAAGGGCAATTTTGTCTTGTCATCCGAAGGAGGAGCGAAAATGATTTCGAAAATGCACAAAAGGGCTAAAATGGCAAAGTGGCGGTGAGCACACGCTTCATATTGGCATTTTAGCGAAACGTGTTTTCGTGATGGCATTATAGCCAAACCGTGTTTTGAACATGGCTAAATGTCCATTTTCTCGTTTTCATCCCACCACTGCCATACGGCAGACCAAACGCAACCGAATAGAACGGCATGAAAAGGGTGAATATGGGCCCTCTGAGGAAGCCCACTGCATCCCGAAGTGGGCCTTTGTACAGCGTCAGACTGAAGCCCGTGAGTGTGAAACCAAAAAAAAAACAAAAAAAATTGTTCCATTGCCGGGATTTGAACCCGGGTCGTCTGGGTGAAAGCCAGATATCCTAACCGGACTAGACGACAATGGATCTGTGTTGGGCTTCTGTTACGTTTCGTGTTATCAAGAGTATCACCATGGAGCAAAGGCGTGCGTGCCTACTTGCAACGACTCGATGGGATTAGCTGTTGCCACGAGCTAACAGTCCAACGGGTAGCGTCTACACGAAACTATTGGATGGAAAACAAACCACGACAATGTGGCACGCCACTTGACAGAGACCTTCACGCCAAGCACACGAACCCAACAAACCACGAGCGAGCGACAACGCAGCCGGCCGGGAAGCACGCGCGCGTGCGTCAAAACCCCCGTACGTCAGTACGTGTGTTTTTTCGCGACCACGAGAACGAGGAAAGTCGATCGAGCACAGCCCACAGCGCCAGCGCCCGCGTCACGCGCGCGTACCTCGAGTCGCCTTGCGGCCTCGCCTCGCCGGCCGCGTGGCGCGGCGCGGCACACGCGGACGCGGGACGGGTAGTAGACGAGAGGGGGAGCAAAGCGCCAACGCGGGCGCACCGCGAAAATCATGCATTCGTGCGCCCGTGCCGTGCGCGCGGGCGCGGCCCGGCTGCTGCTTTCCATCGCCCGCGCCGCGCGCGCCCCACATCACATGTGGGCGCTCCCCCTCCTCTCCAACGCGCGGCAAACGCCACTCCACGCCACGCCGCTACGCCAGCCCCGCTGCGCCCATGCACAAACGTGATGAGACCCCACGAGCTAAGTAACATGTCGTGCGCAAACACGATCACAATATTGAATATCACAGAACGGTAAGATGATACCCAAATATCAGATCTGATATCTACCAGATATCATGTACCATGCTAACTTTATCATAATCTCTAAAAACGAGACCTAGTATATACAAGATATCATGTTTGTTATCGAAAGTACAATGCTGATGTCAGCATGATACATAGGTACCGGATCTAATATCTACGGTGTATCATATTTGGTACCCTCGATATTATATTCGATACCTATTATGTTGATGTCAATTATTCCATTACCATGATACACCGTTACATAGTCTCTCATAACACAATCTGCTAGTACCAAGCACTGAAGCAGCACGGAACGTGTCAATGGCACTGGACTACTGGAGCTCTGGGAGGATAAGGAAAATAAATCAATAGTTGGTTGGTTCAACGTTGAGCAGATACAGTTCAGACCAACAACCAAGGTAATACTCCAGCTAGTACTCCGTAGTGCTTTTCCTGAACCTAGGTCGATCAAATCGGTCCCGTTCCACCCCAACTAACTGGACTCTAATATCTGCACTTACCAGAGGAAAGCTAGTTTTCCACTTTGATTAGCTGATCTGATCACCGACTTTTCTCTAAAGCAAAAGGGCATGGCAATTTGTAGCTGCAACGAACCGTGTTCACACACAAAGTCGATCGAAAACCAGGGCAGAAATTATTACGATCACTGAACATGACCGGCCATAGTAGCTGATCTGAGAGGTCAAAAGCATCGAGTCAAGGCGCTACCTTCTGCTGTTCAATTTGAACAACGGAAAGGAAAAGAAAAAGGAAAGAAAAGTTAAAAAAAAAAAGAGAGGGAAAGAGCGGTACAGATTTGAACCACATTTTTTTTTCTCGAACGCATTTGAACCACATATCTTTAACTGAACAGAAGCATCGACGCTGACACTCGTAACAAGCCAATGCCAATTTCGATCTGCAAACCGCGAAACAAACTCGCACGAACAATTGCTAATTCTATCTGATTTTGAGTACACACCGGGTTGTAGAACCGTGCAAAATTACGGTCAAAACTAACATTTCCTAGCTACTAGTAGATTCTAATTCCAAAGACATGCAACCCGTGCATTGCATTCTACTCCACTCTGCACACCCCCAATTCCTCCTCAGTTTTAGCAAGTTTTTTGGACCTGTGTTCCGAAACCAGAGTATATACCTCGAATTCCATGCATTCACAGGAGTATGCTTGTGAATGTCACCAAAGCTCAAAAACTCCAAAAGCAAATGTTACTGGTGTCAGGTCAAGCAAACGGTACAAGCCAGCATAGTACATACACTGGCTGCTTGCCAACTCCGATGGCATCTTGGATTTCTTGGTCTCTTGCAGGTTTTTGCCTTGTCATTGTCCTGTCCTGCTGCTCCCTACTAGGATTATGTCCCACACAACTCAAGACAAAGTTCAAATCTTTCTCCCTAAGAGCAAGTTTAATAGAATAGCCAACCACTAGCTCCAATTCATCTATATATAGTCAATCTAATAGCTCATTCATACAATAGTTACATACTACACTATCAATACTTGGTCCCACATGTCATACACACACTGCGTCTTGAAGTCCGTGCTACAGCTGGCTACAAATCTGTAGCCCGCTGCCCTTCTCTCTCCTTATTTATCTCCTTAAAATATGTTTGCAGCTGGCTTATAGCCTGCTATTGTACCTGTTCTAATGCTCACTCTCACAGTTAAGTACTATACTGTTCCCTAATGCTCACAGTTAAGTATCCTGTTTGCTCCAGGGTGCTAGCACCTACTCCATCCGTCCTTAAAAAAAAAGCAAACTCTAGGTTTCCGTGTCCAACTTTGACTGTCCGTCTTATATGAAATTTTTTTATAATTCGTATTTTCATTGTTGTTAGATGATAAAACATGATTAATATTTTATGCGTAACTTGTCTTTTTAATTTTTTATATAATTTTTTAAATAAGACGGACGGTCAAACGTTGTACACGGAAATCAGGGTTTGTTTTTTTTGGTACGGAGGGGGTTGGGCATGCATAATAGTACTACACTAAGATTATGCAAGAAAGAACGTGTCTTGCTGATGATGAGTTCTTCTGAAGCAACATGCCGACATGCTTCGAGGTTAATTTGATTGCAAGATTCTTTTATTCAGATGCATCCATGTATACATGCTTAAAGTAACAGAAAAATAATAATCTTGATGTGCTACCAGTAGTATTACTTTCAGTAAAAACCAAGTGAATATATGTATAATCCATCATGGTAATGGTAAGATCGAAACGTGCATGTGATGATCAAAAAGCTTTTTGGGGCGAAACAAACTGCCAGATAAATTACCCTTCTTCCAGCTCGGATGATCCAAGCGCCGAGGCTGGTGGTAAAAACAAAACGATCGCAGCATCCAAGAGTGGAGTAGATCTCACACTGACTACGGGCCCCACCTGTCACACACACTGAGAGACAGAGAGAGGAGAGGAGGAGCTCCTCTTCACAAGAACCAATGGAGATATACTGGTAAAGATAAGTTTTTTTTTTTACTCCTGGTTAAGTTAGGGCACTGTTAGAGTTAGCCAGTGAGGTGTCTGATGCGAGCAGAGGAGGACGAAGAAGAGCCAAGTCGCCAGCCACTAGCGTCTGTGCTCTGTGCTGCTGCCTGTACAAACAGGAACAGAGAGACAGAGAGAGAGCACCCAGAGCCAAGAGGGATAAAGGGGGAGAAGAAGCAAAGAAGCTAGAGGAGAGAGCTGGAGAAGAAGAAAGAAAAGCTAAGAGAAGAGAGATTTCAGAGAGGAGAAGCTCGCCATGATGGCCGGTGTGGTAGCTTGGATGGTTAAAGGGAGGACACCACTCGTCTGGTAAAGCTCAAAGGAAGCTGCTTTGTGCCCTTTTCCTTCCATTGCTTTCCCCTTGCTGCCTCTTTTCTTTGCCTTGCCTTCGTCTCTCTCTCTCTCTCTCTCTCTCTCTCTCTCTCTCTCTCTCTCTCTCTCTCTCTCTCTCTCTCTCTCTCTCTCTCTCTCTCTCTCTCTCTCCTTTTTCAACTGTGGGGGAGAAAGAAATGATGTGAGGTTCTTGTCATGCCTGGCTAGATGCTGCAGCTGGCTCATGATTAATACTGGCTGCTGCGGAGCTGTGGTGGGGAAGAGGTATTTTGTTCTCTTCTTGGCAATTTGTTCAGTCTGTGCCATTGTGTGACAGCTTGAACTTTTGAGGAGAATTCGTCCTGGTTTGCCCTATGGTAGGTGATTTTTTGGTGAACTGGTGATGTTGCAGTTCATGAATTTACTCAAGGATTGGGGCTTGGTGCGTGCCCGGAACTGAAGAGTGGAGGAGGATTGTGCTCAGTGCCTCTTCAGTCAGAGGTATGTTATTGTTAGCTCCTTTGGTCATTTTCCTGTTTGCACTTCAGTGTTCTTGCCTTTGTTAGTTTATTAAGAAAAGTTAGGACTGTTTGCTTGTGAGTTGTGAATTATGTTGAATTTGGCCGCTCTATAAGGTGTGATTTTCATTGGTCGCCGTTCCAATTCGCTGAAGATAGAGCGTCCTGTTTTCAGGCTCTGCAAATTTTGGTATTTGTGGTCGTTCATGTTAGGTTCCAAGCTTATGAATTTCCTAATATTTGGATTTAACTTAGAAACTGCAGTATCTGAGATGCAGGTTAGGAAAAGGTGGCTTAACTGAAAATTATGTATGTTCTATATGGTTTGCTTCCTGCTCATACAGTAGATACTCTAAATTGTCAGCTCTTCTTGTTTAATTACATACATTCACTATCATGACCATTTTAGCTAGTTGCTTAAAACTTGAGTTCACTAATTTTGCTCTTATGGATTGCTGCTCAGGTATATGAACAAGTGCTAGTTCTACAGTTAATATCAGACAAGTCATTGGCCGTAAGCTTCCTAAGGCAACATGACAGAGTTCAAGGTTGGGAGCCTTGATGCCCGAGCAACAAAGATCAGAAATGTCCCCATTGCTGTAACACCAGAAGGATTCTGGTGCTGCCCGTCGCAGGCCGTGCTCCAAAAGACAATGAAGAACCAAAATCAGCAGGCAAAGCCTAAAGGGGGTGCATCTCCTCTTGCATCAAAGGCCTCTTCGGTTCAGAGGGCGCCTACCATTTCATCAGAGAGAAGAGCGCATTCAACTCCGACAAGGTCTAGAATCAATTCGGATGAACAGAAGTGCGCGCCAGCGGAAAATTCAACACCCAATCCACCGAAGGTAGCGAATGATAGACCACAGAAGCAGCATAAGATATCTGTTGGATTTGGTCAACTTGAGATGAGTGATCTCAAGGTTGTGTTGTATGGCAAGGATGGTGTTGCTGTAAAGATGAGTGTTCACAGGAACATCCTTGCAGAAAATAGTACCTGGTTTGCTGATAAGCTCTCAAGACAATCCCCAATGTCAAGCATGGAGGTGCCTGATTGTGAGGATGTGGAGATCTATGTTGAGACAGTTGGATTGATGTACTGCAATGATGCCAAGCAGAGGCTTATCAAGCAAAGTGTTCCACGCGTTCTTCGGATCTTGAAGGTTTGCTGCAGTTAAATATTGGTTCTGTTTATTTTCTCAGTTTACTGAAAATCCATATAGTCATCAATTTTCCTTTTTCAACTCTCTAAGCTAATATGCAAAATGAAAAGGGGGTACGGTCCCAACTTTTACCATTCTGTCAGAATTTAATTTTACTTATCATCTAGCTTACTACAGTATTAGTCATATATCAAAATAGCCTTCCCTGTATTACAACTTTTGAAATTTCTACAAGCTTTTTGATATACAATCTACTTAAGTTGTCGTTAATGTCAGTCTTTTATGTCTATCCAACAGAAATATTCCCTAGAAGCTATTGTTATTTACTACCACTTGTAATTAATAATCTTTAATGTAAAAAAGAAGCATTGCATGTATTATATGCATGTCTGTTTCATGTTGTTACATCAAAGGGATATGGTCTTTTATGTCTTCTATACCCATATACTTCAATATGTCACTTAATAACTACAAGTTGACAAACTCTGAATAGAGCCCACAACTGATAAATATATCTTGCCATACCAGTTGGTGGGGGGTTGGAACAAAATCAAGCCAGGCAGGCTGCCATGCATTATTGTGTCAGTGCTTTATGGAGCAATTGTAAGGAAAAATTTTCCACAGATCAGGCCCACAGCATCCATGGGCCTTGGTCATCCCTCACCAATAAGACATCTCAATTAGGAGTTAGGACCAACCAATGTTGAAACTTTAGAAGAAATGCGCCTTTTGTTCTATACATTAGTTTGGTTGTTCCCTGTATAATGTTGAATTTATGATGTACAGGTTGCAGAATTATTAGGTTTCCAAGCATGTGTTTTGTCTTGCTTAGAGTACTTGGAAGCCGTCCCTTGGGTCGGGGAAGAAGAGGAGAATGTGGTATCATCTGTTCAGCATCTGCAAAGTGGGAATTATGGTGTTAGCCCAATACTGAAGAGGGTATGCTCTGACCTAACAAGCCCACCAAATGACACATTTGTGCATATCATAGAATTAGTCTTGAAGAGCGGCGAGGATAGAGGGCGCCGCGAAATGAAATCCCTGGTGCTGAAGCTTCTGAAGGAGAATAGCAGCTGTACCAGTACATCTGTGGATATCTATGCTGAGACTCTCTACAGCTCTTGCCAGAATTGCCTGGAATCCTTGTTGACCTTGTTTCGACAAGCGACTGCCGACGATTTTGCTGAGCAATCCTTAGACCTTAAAGAGCCAGTTTTTCGACAAATTGCTCTAGAAGCAGATAATCTCCTTTGGTTAACTGAGATTTTGGCCGACAGGAATGCTGCTGGTGAGTTTGCAGTCATGTGGTCTAACCAGGGTGAGTTGGCTGAGCTTCACTCCAAGTTACCAACCAAGTCGCGCCATCTTGTCAGCTGCGTCACAGCAAGGCTCTTTGTGGCAATTGGGAAAGGAGACATGCTCCCTTCAAAGGACACAAGGAAGCTTCTCTTGGATGTCTGGCTGCAGCCTCTCATGGATGACTACAACTGGTTACAGCATGGCTGCAGGTCATTTGACCGCAAAGTTGTCGAGGAAGGGATCGGGCGTACTATCTTGACACTCCCGCTCGAGGATCAGCAGACGATATTGCTTTCATGGCTCGGGAGCTTCTTGAAGGTTGGGGATAGCTGCCCCAATCTGCAGAAGGCCTTTGAGGTGTGGTGGAAGAGGACTTTCGTGCGGCCTTATGTTGAACAAGGGAATCAATCTCAGCCGGGTCGGAGTTGAGGTCTCAAGTGGTTATAGACTGCAAGAAAAAATTGTCATCTTTTTTCATGTAGAATATCACTGAGAAAGTAGTGGTAATGTCTTACTTTTTAGATAATGGGTAATGTCTTACTCGGTTTGCTGTTAGGGAGAACCCCAGGAAATGAAAACAAAATGGGGATGTAAATTAGTACTTATCTTGCAAGGCTTGAGAATATGTGCGCGTTGTGCTTCTGATGCTTCATTTTATCAAATATAAGTGAAGCTCTCTGAATTCTGGTTGCAGAATTTCTTATCTGCTTGTTACTATCATGACATCAGTTTGTTGCACTGCAATGAATATTGCAGCATTGTGCAATAGTAGCTTTTTTTTTACTGTAATATGGATTCATGTACAAACTCAATGTTTACAATGCAACTGTAAAGATTTCCCTGAGATGTGCCCTCTAAAATTTGAAAGAAAAACAACCTTCATATTTGAATTTTACTTAATTTACAGTTACCCAATCGAATTATACTATGTGAAAATAAAGTTGGTACATTTCCTTGTTATGTCGGCATATTGTTATCTGTCATTTCCAGATGATGAAACCATGGTCTCATTGTATTTCAAATGGTATTGCATAACCAATCAAAACTCAAAAGGGTGAGCGGAGTGAGTGATTGAAAAAAAAATTGTTATTTGTCTGTCCTATCTATTTGTTGTTTGTCTGTTCTTTTGTTTTCTTTTTAGCTCACTGGCTATCCTCTAGGAGTTAATACCAATATTTTTGTAACAAATCTAATAAATTTAACTGTGGTGGTTGGCATATTGAATTTTTTTGGTGTTTTTTTTTTTTGGGGGGGGGGGGGGGAGGAGTGTGTGCAAATTGTCTATTTTAAGAATATATTGGATCTATCCGGCTATATTTTAGAATATTTCAGTGTTTTTGGATAATAAGAAAAGGGTGCACGATCTCGACGATTTATTCCTGAACAAATACAGGTGAAGCCAAGAAATCAACTGTAACTGTTTCTTTTCTTTTGAAAGAAGGAAATCAACTGTAACTTTACTGATACACTGGATTAAGTGTGTGGCACACCAAACAACTCAAGATGACAACAACAAATTTGCTCCAGGCAAGCAAAAGAGCTCTGAAGAACTCTTCTGCCCTGTAAACAATCTGCAATGTGTCATCTGGATGCAGCAGACTTATCAACAACCTATAGTAGCAGTATAATTTTCTCAGGACTCTGAAACTGAAAAACACCTCGCTGAGTCACTCACTCGCTGTAGCAGCTTCAAGCTGAGGCATTCCATGGACTTAGCTCATCATCCTCTGGAACTCATGGAAGTCGAGGCCGCCGTCGCCGTCGACGTCGTAGGCCCTGATCATGGCCTCGCAGTCGGCGACCGACCGCTCGTCACCGAGCTGCGCGAGCACCCTCTGCAGGCCCCTCGCCGTGATCCGGCCGGCGGACTCGACGGCGTTGAACACCTCGAAGGCGCTCCTCAGGTCCTCTTCTTGGCTGTCACCTCTCTCCATCAGGGCAACGAATCCGGCGAAGTCGAGCATGTAGCCGGCGGCGGCGCCGCCGCCGCCCGGCGACGGCGCCGGCATCTCGTCGCCCATGGACGCGAAGAACGCGCTCAGCTCGGCGCCGGAGATCTTGCCGTCGTTGTCCCTGTCGAAGTGCTGGAAGATCCTGTGCAGCTCGCCCTGCCTTCTCCCCGACGACGACGAACGGGCGGCGGCGGCGGCGCCGCCGCCGCCGCGTGGGCTCGCCACGTCGGACTGCCCGCAGAGCAGCGGCAGGCCGAGCCTGAAGCTCCTCTTGCGCGACAGGCGCTTCGCCGGCTTAGGAACACTCGCGTTCGCCATTCAAGAAACCCAAGAAAATGTAGTAGAAAAGCTGTGTGGTCTTGTACACTTGTCAGCAAATGCCAAATTGCCAATGCAGCTATGGAAGAAGTGAAGAACAGGTGAGGTGTGCTCCTCCATTTATAGGTGTTGAGCAATCATCTTTGTGTGTGTGTTTTGACTTGACTGAATGCCATGATCACAAGGTAGTTAGGGCTGCATCTGCATGGCAACTAACCTTGCACAGTGCCTCAGATACTGTCAGCTTGGCATTATCTAACTCCCAACAGACAGTGCCATCACATGCTCATGATCCTCGCGCCGCCGCCCAACGAACAACGATATCTCGGAATCCGTGATTTAGTTATGAGTTCAAGATTCCGTTGGTTTGAATTAGTGCTAATTTGAGAGAGACCCTTGACCTGACGAGTGAGATTTCAGTCTTTCACTCAAAAAATTCAGTCTTTGCTGGCTTGCAGGTCTTCAGAAGCTGACAGGGAAGAGTAAACTGAATGCAGTGAAGCAGTGAGTGACTTGTGAAGAATTCAGATTCAGTAGACATTTCAGTTGGTCAGTGACTTCTCCTTGTATTTCAGAGAAGGGGGGAAGTATCTAAAAATAGGGAAGATCATTCAGTCCTAAATGATTTTCGGTGATCATGTTTTCATCAAATGCCCAGATTTGCATATTTCTTTTCAGTGGATATTGAGATCTGAAGAGAGATCATACCACGTTTCGGGGAGCAAGAAATCTGAAATCTTGGTACCACTCAATAATGAAGGAGAAAAAAACAATTGCAAAGCTTCCATGTGCCTCTCATGGAAAGCTTACATTAGGAACTGAGAGTGGCACATGTCTGTGTAGCATCACCACATGGCAGTAGATGTGACCGGTTAATTAGTTATAGATAAATGACCTACCTGAAACTCATGATTGGGTTCAAGCATCGAAAATGACCGGTTAGAAGAATCTTTGCTTGTTAGTTTATGTTCATCCTTGATTTGACCGGTATGGAAAATGGTATGTACCAACGTGATCTAGATGGACCTAACAAAACAAGGTACTCCATTGATGCTCCAATGTCACCACACCGACCACAGCAATAATGATTCTCGTTGACAATACACCTTCCATTCCTATCTCAATGCAATACTGCCATGGAGGTATTTACACACATATCTCAAAAACCAACCAACCAATCAAGCATCTATTGTAATATATAAGTTTGTATGATTTTCTACAAATAGGCTCCCAAAAACAGTTACAAAACCAGCTCAAGGAGGGTACATCTAGTAATTTGGCACATTGTTCTGTTGTAAATTTGTTATGTAGTTACATTGTCAGTTCAGTTTCTTCTCGGTATATTGTATCATGACCGTCTGATAAACAAAATATTGCTGTGTGCCGTTTTGGGTTGTATACAGAGTGGGATCAGTTGAATCATAGCCTATCTTCCACCGAAAAGACGGTATAATTTTATGTCCTCGAAGATGATTTGTGAAATCCAGCCTCAACCACAAGTGAACATTTGCAAATTTTTTCGAACAGCCCAATCTCAAAATAAAAATTCCTTAAGTAGCACTTTGTTTACTATCGATTTTTTTCTCATTGACGCTAATCAATTCTGGCACCTTATCAAGTAATCTGTTCATCTCTTCTGAAAATTCAAGCTTGGCTCGATTTGTCTTTCCTCCGATGACTACTGTACTTCCGTCTTGCAATGCCCATATCTAGACAGAAATCAAATCGTAAATCTGTAGCAGTTTTACAATACTTATATTTCAAAAATAATCATAGGAAGTGCCATATGCACACACCTGAGAATGTGAAAGATAACTAATGCAGGTCGTTAACATGAGTGCACCAAATCCAGCATACACAATAGGAATTCCTGGATCAGTCTGATGGCAAGGGAAATAAATACAAGGCACGTTTAATGATATATCAAACATGTACAAAATTTCTGCAAATTCAAAACAATTTATCAGGAGCACTGACCTTAAGATCGAGACCGGTGCTACCGATGGCATCTTCAATAACTATTTCGTTACCATCTATTTCAATCGGTAGTTTTGAGCTTGGCCGACGAACCCCCACAAACTTACCCTCTTGATCATACAACACAATAGACTGCAGATCTCGAGCAAGCATCGATCTACAAGCCATCAAGAGAAGAAGTTAATAGCTTATAGGGAATGTGTCCAGTTTATCATTTAGCTCCAAACAGGGGAAGTGTTAAAACTTACATTCCTTTGACATTGGAAGAACCGGAGTTTTCAAGTGGCAACAATGTTCCAAATAACTTCTTATCACCATTCAATTTCAAGGGGGCCATGGCCAAATTGAAAGGACCTTCACCATTTTTCTTTACTTGCAATGCTGAAAATCCCCAATCGGTTTGGTAGATTGTGACCCCACCATACCTCAAGGGGTCGTTCACTTTGATAGTCTTCCTCATGACCTCTTTGCCATCAAGGTCGAAAAGTGAAAGATCGCTATAGAATTGTGAAACCTGGAAAGCCAAAAATATTTGCCACATGTAAATCTGACATCACACAAGCATATGAAATGCTGGGCAAAATTGACTACCTCTCCACTATCATAGTACTCCATGTAGAACCGATTGACATGGACTTCAGTATTAAAAACATCAGGCACAAAAGAGAGAACTCCTTTAGGTTTCATCACATCTCCGATTACAAAGTTCAACCCTTGGGGTACATCCACCGATCCTTTAAAGCTCCCTGTTGCGCTAAGCGTGGCACCTGCCATGATGAAAATCATAGCTATGTGCACACCGATAGGCGCAAACCGACCAGCCAGTCCTTTGAAAGCATACAGAGATGGACCCTTAGTGAATACCTGAAACACACATCAAACACACATGATTTAAATGCATATCGGAGCAAATGAAATGCACAGAATGTGACTAAAATCACCTCATATCCATAACCCATCAATATAACTCCTAAATCCTGGATGGATGCGCGGGGAAGTGACTCCGCAAATTCTTGCTTCCGGATGCTTCCTGCTGAATGCATGAACGACCATCTGCAAGAAACAATTGATCAGCGCTTGCAATTATCTACAAGTATAACTCATGTTCTGAATTCTGATCAGACAAACTATCATTATCAAGAAGAGAAAACCTGCACATCAGAAAATGGCCATTTCTACCTTCTGGCAACCTTGACAATGGGGATTTGAGTGGTGTAAGTGCAGGCCATGAGCGACGCCGCGAGCAGCGCGAGGAGGCCGAGGAACACCGGCGAGGAGAACATGTGATCGAACCCGGGAGTGAGGATCCACCTCCACGTGATGAACCCGAACACCGGGTTGTCCTCGGGGAACTTCTCGAAGTAGTAGCTCGGCGCCTCCCCTTGATCAATCACCGTGCCTGCAATTGCAAATCGCAAATTGCAAATTGCAATCACAATCATGAATAAAAAAAAACAGCAATCACATACTGGCAAATGGGCAATCCATTCCGGAGAAGCTAAGCTAGCGAATTCGAAGTAGTATCAAATAAGCAGCGAATCACCTAAGGCCATGAGCGCGGCAATGGCGAACATCTCGGAGATGGCGAGCGGGAGGTTGGAGAGCAGCGACAGCGTCCTCTTCGTCAACCTCCTAACCAACCCCAACGCGGCGTTCTCCTTCCTCCTCGCCACCTTCCCCTCCCCCTCCCCCTCCCCCTCCCCCTCCCCGCCGCCGCCGCCGCCCCGCTGCGAGACCGGTGGCGCGGCGTCGAAGAACACGACCTGCTTCTTGGCCTTGCCGGTTCCAGCAGGTATGGCCTCGCGCTTCACCCCACCGCCACCGCCACCGCCGCCCGTCCTCCGCGCGTCGCAGGAGACATGGACCCGCCTGCGCGGCGGCGCGGCGGCGGGGAGGGGGAGGCGGGGACGGTGGTGGGACCTGGAGGCGGTGGGGTTGAGGAGCAAGTAGCAGGTCGGGGAAGGCATGGCGGGGTGGAGGAGGGAGTGACGACGACGACGAGGAGGCGCATCCGCATCGCGTCCGTTGGCTCCCCCGCGCCCGCGCGAAAAATAGGGCGGTTGATGTGGATAAGGCGCGCGTCGGGTCGTACGTGGAGCGGCGAAGACGAAGGCGTATGGGAGGAAATTATCTTGCAACTGGGCCGGATATTTCGAGGGATTAACTAAGGGCCCATGATGTGAACAACGACGGCCCTGGATAGATGGGCCGGTTGCAAGGGTCCAGTCTTCATTTCATGGTCTGACTAGTATTTCTTGCCAGTGGCAGAGGACGGAAAAAATAGTAGGTGTGGCCCATGGACTAGCGCGAGAATTCGAGCAGAACAAGAAGTAAGGGGAAAAAAACAATCTCAATGCCCGATATTATATGACGCAACATTATCCCATCATGACACAATCTCAAGCATGGCAACAAGCACTAGTCCAAAGTTCACAATTTATCATCCATTTGCCAAAATTGTAAATAGAATAGGCATTCAAAAATACCTCAAGATTCCAGCGTTCAGTAACACATATAGGAACAAGTGAGGATAGTAGATAAACATGTAGAAACTGCAAAACAAATAGCAAAAAATAAAGATTGATTAGTATATTATATACTTGAGATTGATAAGGTAAACAGCTATGAGTGGAATAAAATGTAAAAGCATACCAAACATAAAATATTTAATTGCTTCTAGGTCTAGGAGATTTAGGCAATTGCATTTGCCTAGTTTTCTTTTTATGAAATGCTTTTTTGATTTTTTGAAAATCAAGTCCTTTGAATATATCTCTCTCAATGTTCTGAAATTGTCAAAAATTCAAGAATATGTACCTCTTTTGTGAAGCCAATGCCTTTCCTTTTCTCTTTCTATCCATTTTGTGTTGATTTCTTCAGTTGAATCCTTCTCTTTCTTTTGTTGTTTGCTCGGCCTGCCTGCAGCCTGCCTCTGCCTGGCACCGCCCCGCCGCACCCACCCTGCCGCCTGCGGGCTACCGGCGGCCGTTAGCCCGCTCCCCTCCTCGAGGCCGCCCTGCGCGGCAGCGCCGCCGCCACACCGCACGGCTGCCGGCTGCCGCTTCCCTCCGCGACCGCGAGCAAGCCCGCCGCGCCGCCGCACGCCGGCGCGCCCGCTCCCCTCAGCGCCGTGACGCCGTTGAATTTCACCGATTTGACTAGGTGCTCGGATTGGAGAATTGGGGAAATAGGGATTAGGGTTTCAAGGTCATGGTCCCACTCCCATTTACACAAAAACAAGTCCAATGGGCCTAATTGGGGTGGGGGGGGGGGGGGGTTGGGTAGGTGGGAGGAACAAGCTATGGTGAGTGCCACACCTTGCCCTACCGAGCCCTCCGCCCCTGTTTCTTGCCTTTCTTCTTACGAAAAGAGTATTTCTTCGCATATGTGTCTGCGTATAATGAAAATGGGAAAATGTGTAACTCTTTTTATATTATACGCAGTCACATACGCGAGCGTACACCACTACATAAGTAACACCACATTCACACCCCTGTGAATACGCTCCTAACATATACTCAGAGGGATATAAAAACCTGCGGTACATCTCTAATCTCACTAATTACATGTTAGAATCACACCTACATGTGCGCAATATTTGTAGGCATCAATATTAAAATCCTGGTGGGTGAAGTCATGCATACAGAACTACACCATCCCATTAATTATACTTTTCCCGAGAAAAGGTGTAACTTGGCTCTCATTTCTTTTCGATCAATTTGGTCACCACAAGTTTTGGGGAAAGTTTAGCCACTAGGAAGTGTGTGATTCTGTCCATTTCAAAAGGTGTACCCCCCTTGATGGAATGAGTTGGACATCGTCATGACCGAACAATACAAAACCTTATTATATTTCGAATTTTGAACAGGTATTAGGTGAGTCAGTGTTATAAAAAAAATTGTAAATGGAACTAGCGCATCCGTGTGAGCGACGGGGGCTTATGCATGGTGTTCTTCCGTCTGAATTGATCGGAAGAAAAACTGTCTCCAGCAGAAACGTCCAGTATTATCGAGAAAGTCAAGAAATCCCCTCCTGTCAATCCGATCGAGCTACGGAAGCACATAAACACGGCCGTCTCTGTCATCGTACCAGTCACCAGTCCACGCCGGTTCAACAGTTAATGACGCTCCCGTCAGCTGAAAGGTGCCTGCGCCCCTGCAAATCATTCAGCTGCTGCTGCATCCTGTCGATCTCACGCTTCGTTGAACCAACCGACAGCACGGCGGTGACTCACCCCGGCGACTCCGCCGTCATCCAGAACCAAAAAAAGCCGTCCTACGCAGTTTTACGTGCTACTACTACCGTCCCAAAATAAGTGTAGTTTTAGCACTATTCATATTTAACGTTTGACCGTTTGTCTTATTTAAAAAAAAATTATAATTAGTATTTTTATTGTTATTATATGATAAAACATAAATAGTACTTTATTTGTGACTAATTTTTTTAATATTTTTTATAAATTTTTCAAATAAGACGGATAGTAAAAACGCTAAATACGGATATTTATAGATACACTTATTTTAGAACGGAAGTAAGTACTAAAATTGCACGTATCGAATTCAAACCGAACCTCTGATCGCATCGAAGCTTCCATTGCCACGTTGTGTCTTTGGACTGCAGAGACGTGCTCCTACGCGGCTCTTGGGGCTGGAACCCGCGCCGCCGGTTTCGAGCGTCGTCGGGCGGGCGTTCGCTCACCGCGGCTCCGTCGCCACCGGCGGCGCGCGGCACTCGCGCGCGTTTGCCCAACTGAATCAACTGAAGTGATGAGTTTTCTATTCCAAAATACTATATGACGTGGTAGATTTTCCTACAGCGTTTAATTATTTATCTTATTAAATATTATTTATTTTGTTATCACTTGTAGCACAATATTATTTTATGATTTTGAAATGAAGGTACGTACGGCATCGAGTAGTTTCTTCAAATTTCCTTGTCGAGGCTGATGGATAGGTTTGCTGCCTGCCAAGATTTAAACAAGCAAGCAGGAATCCCGTTTTCTAACAAAAAAAGCGAGATTGGTAGTATTTCTATATTTTACTACCAGTTGGCGCACCACGCAGGATGAAAATATTTGTAAAAGGCGACGGCCCGCTCCAGCGGTCCAGCCATGATAGCAACTCCTCTACTGCACAGTAGTGCGATGAAACTGATGATGATTTGTGTGTACTAATTCCACTGAAACTTTCAAGGCTAGCAGTAACAACAACTGTAAAACCAATCAGCAACCCAATCCAACCTTCCTCCGTCCGACCAGGGCATGTAAAATTCTGTCACGAACTGTGTACCGGATGCCACGTCACACAGTTGTCTCTGACTCTGTGACTCACGCGCCGCCATCTAGAAGGATAACAGGAGCACGAGAGTGAGTGGTGGGCGCGCGCGCGCACACAGGTCTTTCTCAATTCTCCCCTTTCCTACGCAGTTTTCGCCCACCGCCGCCGACGCCCCTCCCGTCCCGTCTCCTCTTCTCTTCTTCCGCACCCACCGTTGTTTTGACCCTGTTTTCACAAAACAAAAATTTTTTCACTCATCACATTAAATGTTTAGACATATACATAGAATATTAAATGTGAAAAAAAATCAATTACATAATTTACGTGTAAATTACGAAACGAATCTTTTAAGCTTAATTGCGTCATGATTTGACAATGTGACGTTACAATAAACATTTGCTAATAACATATTAATTAGGTTTAATAAATTCATCTCGCAGTTACCTGGCAGAATCTATGATTTATTTTGTTATTAAACTACGTTTAATATTTTAAATGTGTATCCGTATATCCGATGTAACACAAAATCCAAATTTTTTCCCCATCCATAAACAAGGCCATTGTATAAGAGGCAGCCCTACCCTCCACCGGTGAGAGCTCCACGTCTCCAACCAAATTCCATCGTCTTCAACCCAACCCAACCCAAACACCACCATGAGCAGGGGGAGGAGCAGGCTGAGCTGGCTGTGGAGGGCGCCGGCGAGGGCGCTGGGGAGGGCGCGGGACATGTACGTGCGGGGGATGACGGGGTGCGCGCGCTGCGTGCCGGCGGACGCCGCGTTCGGCTACCCGGTGTTCGTGCCGTCCTCCGCCGCCGCCTCGATGAGGAGCAACAGCTTCGGGTCGGACTCGCGGTTCGGCGGCGGCGCCGACGACGACCTCCGGGAGCTGATCCGCGCGGCGTCGCAGAGGCGCGCCGCGGAGCAGGAGCGGGAGGCGCGGGCCGTGGCCAGGAGCCAGAGCATGGCGTCGGGGATCTCCATGGCGCGGATCGACGAGGACGCGCCGTGCGAGGAGTTCGGCGACGCCGGCGTGATGCACTACCCCAGGAGCCAGAGCTGCGTCGGCGGCGTCGGCGGGAGGATCGCTCACTGTCACAGGAAGGTGGCGGCCTTGGCCTGAGCTGCTGCCCGCCGGTCGTGCTCGCGACGGTGTTCATCGCCATTAATGGTCTTCTCTGGAGGTCTAGTAGCCATTCAAACTTTGGGATTTTGCGTTTGTAAATATGATTTTTGTTGAGAATTCGTGAGTCGTAATTGCTATTTTTGCTGCTGCAAAACAGGGGCAAATGCAAGAAACTGAATAGTATTTTCGGAATTGCTATATGTCACGCAAAAGTTAGCTTAACTTAGTTTTTTTTTCCCTTTTAGCGTATGGTTTAATAATTCACCTGTCACGTTACGCACTCATCTATCCAAATCCCCCACGTAAGCATACACCAGTTCGTTAAACAAAAAACAGCGCCACCAGCTTGGTATGGCCACGTCTGAATTGAAAGCAGGACTGCAGCTTGCCAATTGAGTACGCCTAATCCAATTAAGTGCCAAATTGTAGAAAATTAACGGCCAAACTGTAGCTAAATTTATGTAGCACAGTGGAGCAGTGGACTTCATTCTGGAATGCACCTATCATTAGTCAAAGTACACTAGTTCGGCTTCATCATTAGTCAACGGCAACATCTAAATATGAGCCAAACGTCGGCTGCCCAATGGCTCATTTGAAACATAGGGGGTGGATTTTAGAAATACGTAAATAGGAAAATTTGTAGAAGTGAGATGTCAAATAAATCCGGCAGACATAGAAAAGACAGAAATTTACAAAGTGTTTGGATAGCTGATAAGGACAATAACATAGGATTTTTATAGGTTTTAGAGAGAGAAGAGAGACAGAGCATTGGACTTCTCGAAGAAAAAAAAGTTTGGAGCTCCTATTCAAAATTCCCTATGGAATTGGAGTATAGGATTGCAATCCAAATGAATTTTCCTATGTTCAATCCTATATTCCAAATAACCTAGCAAGGAAATTTTCCATACGATTTAAATCATTTGAAATCATCAATCAATAACTCCCCTAACCCCACCGTTTTTCTCCTTTTTTTTGAATTATTTTTAGGCTCCTTGTTTAATTTAGACGTTGTCTTTTACTGTTTTGGGCTCCTCATGCAGATTAGCTTGACTGCTAATAAGCAGTTTTCGGTTAGTGTACTGTTCAAAGATTACTAAGCTTTGCCTTGTGTCCGGTACCATCAACCGGGTGTTGGATGTTTATGCCGTGCATGCAGGGCACGTATGCTCTATGCGTTTTTTCAAAAAAACTCTCAATCCTCTAGGAAACAACGAAGCAGTCCTCCTGGAGATTCATCCTTATTCTAATTTTTACTAAAAAAGCCTTACCTTTATATGAAATACAATGTGAAGAAGAGAAAATTCGGATTTTAGGGACAGCGCTGTAATCCCAAAAAGTACGAGGGCATTCTAAAAAAACAGATCCTAATCCAATCCCTCCTCTTTCTCTGCTGCCAACCCATCCCCAACACGCAACATCTCTCTGCCCAATCCTCCTCCCGGCCAATCCGCCATCCCCATCCCCGGCCAATCCATGCGGCCTCCTCCTCCCGGCCGGGGGCAAGGACGGCGCCGGCGTTTACAAAGACGACGGAGCAAGGGGACGACAACATTGCCGCCCTCCACCATGCCTCCTGTGCTGCCCTCCTCTACCATGATGGCCTCCTCGACCTTGTGGTTGCGTCCACGGGGGGAGGGAGGAGGCGGCACCCGCCCGAGCTGCCGCCGGTGCTCCCCTCCTCCTTCTCCATCCACTTGTGGTGACGGCGGCGGCGGGTGGAGGGACGCCCGCTGAATCCGCCACCGGTTCTCCTTCCCTCCTTGTTCTCCCTCCACTTAGGCCGGCGGCGGCGGTGGTGGCGGGGGGAGGGCAGATCCGGCGCCCGACGCCGGCGGATCCGCCGTCGTGCCCCCTCCCTTCCCTTGTGGCGGCAGTGGCGAGGGTACCTACGTTGGCGGCAGAGCCGGCTGCGCGTCTGCCGCCGATGCCCTTCCCTCATGGCGGCGTCGGACCGGCCGCCTGCGCAGGACTGCCGTACGTCTTCCCCCGTCGCCGCGTTGCCTCTCCGTCCTCTCCTCCGCAGCTTCCCAACCGTTCCCCTCTCAACTCTCGACCTCTCCTCTCTACGTGGAACACCATGACCGTCGCCGCCGAGGTCGACGCATCCCCTGACGGAGAGGAGAGGAGGAAGCAAGCTTGCAATCGCACAACCATCTATCGATTTCTCCCTTCCTTCTCTTTCTTCTTTCTTTCTTTCGTTTCCCCCTCTCACATGTCAGGTTATTTTTTCTCCTCATCCTCTCCGGATGATTTCACTTTTGCTCGAAATCTCTCAGGTTGTTGTTGTGTTGAAGGTGGCGAAGGGGGAAACTTTGGTGGTGGTGGTGGCCGGAGTGGAGGATGGCGGCAGCGGTGGCGATGCCCGATGCGGAGCGGCAGCGGCAGTGACGGCAGCGGGTACGACAAGGCCGGGATGGACTCCGGCAAGTACGTGCACTACACGCCGGGTCAGGTGGAGGCGCTGGAGCGGGTGTACGCCGAGTGCCCCAAGCCCAGATTCTCTCGCCGCCAGCAGTTACTCTGCGAGTTATCCATCCTCGCCAACATCGAGCCCAAGCAGAAGATCAAGGTCTGGTTCCCAAAACAGAAGGTGAGCAAAAGCATGCAGGGATATACTATCAAACTGGTTTGCCTTTTGTGTGTCTGGCTGTGAAATGTTCTGGACAAATTGGTTGACAATGGAGCAATAGCAATAGTAGTGTTCAATTGTTTGCCTTGGTTGTGCATACTCTGCTTCAACTATATTTAGGAATTGCAAGTCTATGTATTTATTTGTTTTGCTTCCTTTCTTGCATAATGGAACAACCTTTATATAATCAAGGAAGAATACTGTACTTACCAGAGTATGTGCCAGATTAAGCCATCCATTAATTAGATGCTGAAGTAAACTATATGACTATATTGCGATGTATTCTAATTCCACTACTTACAAAACTGTAGGGTATAAGATTTGCTTATTTTTAGAAGATAGGCTAAACGAGGGTCATTTAGGTCACATGGCCAAACTAAGACACATATACATAACGTATTATCATGCATCTGATAGTAATGCAAAACAATGCAGTACTATTTACTTTCACTGCAGGTATTTAGGCTCTATCTTTTATTTTTCTCAAGAGGCACTTAACATGATATACAAAATTTGAAGAGTTACATTTTTTAAAAAACTTCTATGAGTTCTGCCTAAATGATTGTTATCCATGGTGTGCCTAAATAATTGTTCGATCTAGAGGTGATCCAAAGATTCGTCTATATTAGACGTAACAATAATGCAGTGTTTTTTTTGTTTATTTTTTAGCCTACAAATGTTTGACAAGAAGAGGATGAAAGAGTGACATAGGCGAGCTCTGTAGCATATATAGAATGTTTGCTATCCACTGGTACATCTTTAACCCGAGCCTACCTACTGTATAGATGTGTTTAGTACGTGCTTACTATGCTTAATTTTGGGGATAATATAGTACGACGTGTAAGAAAATTCAGAACTATGTTGTATGCTCTAGCTGAATTTGTTTACTTCCTACAAAAAAATGGATGAACTACTGATCCAGTTCATGTTGTGATCCTCCTCCAAGGAGTTTTTTTTTGTTTCTTTGCTATCTGAAAGATTCCTTTTTTTTTTTTGCTTTGTTGAAGTGGAAGGAGCTCATTGGTGTACCTTTGTTGAAATGGCTCCTTTGCATCCTCATTGTTTCACATGTCTGTTTCATTTCCGTTTTTAAGGGACTGGCCTTATTAAAGGTTGTTTAAAAGCTTGAACAAGACTTCTATTTGATTGATCTTTAGTCCCTATTTTACCTACCAGGTGAATTGTCGCCTCGGGTAAGATATTGCTAACAGGGAATTAACTCTATTTCATTGCCTTGTAATTAACTTGTTATACTAAATCAGAAGATTCTCCGGAGGAGGGGATCAGGGGGAGAAGAAACCAAAGAAATGGCAGCAACCCTCTTTTTTCCGGAGGCGATACATTGATACTACTTCGATAGTAGTAGCAGTAGTAGTCGTCGTCTATATGGATATAGAACGCTACAGAGTTCACTACTGCTTTAGCTATTGATACTACTTCAATAGTAGTAGCAGTAGTAATATTTTGGAACTAAACACGGTCATATATATAAGCAACTGCAACGAGGCTATAGGGTCGTAAACAATTCACTGACACGTACCGGGCCTCTCCATGTTTCATGAGACACACGTCATACATGTAGCATGAATTATGACGGTAACAGTACACTATTCACTATTTATATAATCTTGGTGGGCCACAGAAGCCGGTGGAGAGTGTCAAAGTTTACAAGAAGACTCATCTCCCAGCTAAGGAAGCATATTTTCTGCATCAAATCCTCTTTTTATGCAAGCAAATTAGGCATTAATAAGTATGTTGTTGATTATATGATAAACAACTTATACTATGAACAAATAAAATGCATCCGTATAAGCCGACTCTGTTTACTTGCAACCTGTACACTAACCATTTTAACTGTGCGTTTTTTTAATCCATGTAAACAATTTGCATGCTCGCCAAGTGTTGCATTCTCTGTTTTACAGACATGCTACCTGCCCTTGCAACTGTTTAGTGAAGAATTTTAGATATCTACTCGGCTAATTCCACACGAAACACACCTTCCTCTTCATTATATCATCTCCACTCATTGACATACGTATCTAAACCCGGAAAGGCAAAGTTAACTTAAGCGTAAAGCCCAGAACTAATAGCCCACCGATAAAATAACTTTTCAACACGTACATAGGCTGGTGAATTGTACTCTTCACAGGCTGAGCTGAACCTTAGGTTGGCTCTAAGTTTGTCTCTATTAGCATCATGGATAAATGCACAAACCATTAGACAAATATTAATTACTCGTTGCAATTTTATTTAATATACGTTCTGCATAATAAACCTATTGGTTCTCGTTATCAAACCCATTTACAACTAAACTCTGCTTTTTTGACCAATCTCTGTTGTCCTTACATCACATGTTACCATTTGCTTTTTCAAACTGCCCCATTTTCACCTGCCCTTACTTCATAAAAAAAATCTTTCCCAATTTCTGTTAAACAAAAAAGCCCCATATCATACTGTGTTGTTCAATCAAATTAATATACATATAATATACCATAGCGTAAGGTCTAACTGAACTTGATTACGTACACTTCTACCTACGCAAGTGTTAGCGTGCGCGGCGTGGCGCCGCGCTCGCATTTCTAGTTTATAAAACAACTCTCCATTCCAAAGGCGCCCTAATTGGACCGCCACATATGTTTTAATCGCGTCTAGCCCACTGAATGTAGTCCTCAAGTATGCTAGGAATAGGTTCACTTTATGTCCACCTTAAAATCATTCGAACTGATGTGTCTCTCAACTTGTAAACTGGTGTGTCTGAGGTCCAGGAGCAGTATAGGGGCAATATAGTATCCGGTTTTGACTAACGTGACAAATTAATTAATCCCCGCACCAAATCCGCAGCCTCGGTATTTGCAACATTGCCCTACACCTCCACGTCGCCCTACAAGTTGAGAGAGATAGAGAGATGGGGCAAGACAGGGGAGAGAGGGAGAGAGGAGTAATAAGACTAGGTCTCTGACATGTGGGTCCCACATAGACCCCACACTGACTCAGCTAACCTGATCATAGTCAACTAGCATGGTGACCCGCGCAGATTGCGCGGCTAGCATCATTATATTTTATCTCATATAATAGCATATATGTTTTCTCATTATATTATTCAAATATATTAAAATGACAATATAATTTTAAATTTTGCAATAACTTTACAAAACTACTAATGTGCAATATTCATATTATATTTTATATACGTGTTAGTTATTAATTATTTTTAATATCAAATTTTAGTTATTTTTAAATTATATATATTCCTATATGGACTCTAGACTCGTCTTTTAATATATTTTTTTAATTCCGAATTTTCTGTAAATTGTATTTCTATATAGACTCTATGCTCTTCTTCCAATATTATTTATTTTTATTTTTGAATTTTTATTATTTCTAATTGTATTTCAACGTGGGCTCTACTCATCTTTCAATATTCTTTAATTTTTAATTTCGAATTTCAGTTACTTCTAAATTGTATTCCTATATTGACTTTAAACTCTTATTCCCATGTTTTTCTTAATTTTGAATTTTAGTTATTTGTAAATTATATTTTTATACGGACTCTAAACTCTACTTTTAATTTTATTATGTTTATTCCAAATTTTAGTTAGTTTTAAATTCCAATATGGACTCTATACTCTACTTCCAATATTCCTTATTTTTTAATTTCGAATTTTTTTTCTTAATTGTATTTCTATATGGAATCTATAATCTACTTCAAATATTCCTTATTTTTAATTTTAAATTTCTATTATTTCCTAATTGTATTTATATATGGACTCTATACTCTACTTCTAATATCCCTTATTTTTAATTTCAAATTTCAGTTATTTTCTAATTGTATTTCTATATGGACTATATACTCTACTTCTAGTATTCCTTTTTTTTAATTCCGAATTTCAACTATTTCTAAATTGTATTTCTATATGGACTCTAGTCTCCTCTTCTAATATTCCTTATTTTTTAATTACGAATTTCAACTATTTCTAAATTGTATTTCTATATGCACTCTGCCTTTTCTTTTTCTCCGATTAATGTGAGAATTTCTAGGCCATGAGAGCGAACGTGGAGGCTCTTTTTTCTATTTCTTTAATAATATAATAGATTCTTCATGTCAGCGAAAACCGAACACAATACTGTTTTAGGACCTAAGGACCCTAAGGTGCTTTGGTTTTGCAAGTCGAGGAACACGTATCTAGTATTGCGATTCAGGGATGTGATTAAAACTCGAGATAAGGGATTGAAAGTGAACTAAGTATGGTACAATCGACGGTTCAGACCCAATAAACATGTGTGCTACAGCCTACAACACCGTTTAGACCCAACAAACATGGGCTGCATTCAACTTCCGGCCCATCTTAGGATAGGCCGCACGTAGCCGACTATACCTTTCCGGGCCTACTAAACACAGACCGCACGTATGCTACAATCAGCCCATCTTAATTTGGTACGCACGTGGGCTATGATCCAGTTCCGGCCTGTTTTAATATAGGCCTCACGTGGGCTACAAATCCCGTTCGGATTACGCGAGATTTCTTCGTGCGGACCACAAACTCAACCAACTCCGTGTAGGCCCCACAATTCCCCATCGCCATTATCCGCCGGTCGCTCGCCGGAGTCCCCACGAAAAACACGCGAAGGGAAAAAAAAAGGGCCAAAAAAAAAAGAAAAAAAAACAGAGAGAGGGAGACCGGCACGGTACGCGCACCGCACCACACGAACCAATCCGAAACCCTAGCTCCGGCGAGCCGCCGCCGCCATGGACAGCCGCCTCGTGGCCTTCTCCCACCGCCGCCGGCGCTGGATCCTCCTCGCGGCGGGCGGGGCGGCGGCGGTGTTCGGGGCGTACAAGATCTACCACCACCCGGCCGTGGCGGCCCGCCGCCGCCGCCTCGCGCGGCTGGCCGGCGCGGTCGCGGCCTTCCTCGACGCCGCCGCGGCCTCCGCCGACGCGGCGGCCCTGGTGGCCTCCGACCTCTCCGACTTCGTCCGCTCCGGCTCGGACGAGCTCCCCCGCAGCGTCACGCAGCTGGCCAAGCTCGCCGCGTCCCCCGAGGTCTCCGCGACCGTCTCCGCGATCTCGGAGGCCATCACCGCCGGGATACTCCGCGGAGTCGGATCCGACTCCGGGCCCGGCTCCGGCGGTGGCGTGGCCCTCTCCGATCGCCTCGTCGACAGGCTCTTCTCGGAGTCCGGGGAGCGCCTTGCGGCTGCCATCGCCGGGAGCTTCGCCCGCCATCTCGTAGCTGCTATCTACTCCGCCTCTTCGACTCCCGGGGAGACCTCCTCGCCGATGAAGTGGGTCAACTTGATTGCCACTGGAAAGGGCCAGAAGGCGATTAGTAATTGGGTTGAGGTGTTCGTGAGCACAGCCGTGGGGGTGTTCGTTGACAAGACAATCCACATCAATACCTATGATCAGCTATTCCAAGGCCTTACCAATGCAAGCCATGATGCTAAGGTTAAAGAATTGCTTGTTTCGGTATGCAACGGGGCAGTGGAGACTATGGTGAAGGCCACTCACCATGTTATGTCCAATGCCAATTATAAATCGGTTGGCAGTGGCAGCAATGGTGCTGGGGAAGGGTGGGTCGAGACAGTGTCGAGCACATTGGCAGTTCCAAGCAACAGGAAGTTTGTGCTTGATGTTACTGGTAGAGTTACATTTGAGACAGTGAGGTCGTTCCTTGAGTTCGCACTGTGGAAAATGCACGCTGGGGCGAAGAAGGGTGGCAACACAGTGATGGATAGCGGACTGCGCGCGATGCAATACATGACTGATAAGTCTATGGTTATCGCCACAATATGCATTACACTTTGTTTGCATGTTTTGAATGGCACTCGGCTCCTGGTAACAGCTTGATGATGTGTTCAAGATCAACACGGGTGTATTTGGATTGCATTGTTGGTACATGACTTGTAGGAAAATTTATACTGAAACTGTAAATTCATCTAGAAAAGAAGAGCTGAAATGACGTAAATGATTTCGTGTTGTGTTTGAGATTGTTATTCAAAACTGCTGTGCCGGGATTGTTGATTTGTTGTGCCCTTGGGGAAGTGTATACACGGGAACTTTTATAGTGTCATGTGTTTAGATTGTTATTCAAAATTGCTGTGCCGGGATTGTTGATTTGTTGTGCCCTTGGGGAAATGTATACACGGGATTTATTGATAAAGGAGATGTGATTTGCATTTTGAATGAACTAGTGTCATTGTTACATCGCTGATATCATCAGGCAATTTTTATCAGTTTAAGATTGATTATGCCCATTACTAAGCTTTCTGGTGATCCGGTTGCTCCACCAATTTGCGTAGTTATGTATTTCGTTCTTGTTACCAAAATTCTACTTCCACCAAATTGTTTGTTATGTTGCAGCATCTTTTTTAGCCTTGTATTGTCCAGCTGAACTCAACTTTCTCATGTGAAGTATCAAGTATCTAAAGTTTCGGTTTATTGTTCTGAACCAGTTTAGACTAGTCCTGAGTAAAGAATTAGCAATTTGCTATCCATCTTGAGTATCATAAAAATTTTAGCAGGTCATACCTAGTGTATATTATCTATTGATGAGATCTCACAATCAGTGCTCTGTAGTGACCTTTATTCTTTGTTCTTGGTCCAAAAGATAAGACTAGTATACCAGAGCTTAGTTCATCCTATCCCCATGTGATGCATCTTGGTATTAGGTTCAGCTGGCAGTAATAATTCTCAAGTGGTTTTTGACACCGTGGTAGATTCAGTTCCTTTTAATTCCTTTTGGACATATGGACTGAAAGGTCAGAAAGAGGAGGAAAGTAACTTTTCATTATCCATTGTGGATTTGTGGTTGGCGGAGGCCGTTTTATACAATTTTCAGTGTTTGTGTGTTTGTCTTACCAAAGTCATACAAATGCCTTTTCTTGTTTTCTCTGCAAAATCTGACATATCCAGTTTTACACTTTAGTAATTGGAATGGCCGCAATATGAGGTTCAAGTCTTCAAGAAGACTTGCCCAACGATGTCATCTGCACCATGTTTATCATGTACAAATTGTGCATTTCATAGGGCTAAACTAAGCTATTGCCGGACCACATTACAAAACCAGTTTGTCACAGAGAAGTCCAAATGTCCAATTGGCTAGAGATGCAAACTTCTGGTAACAGTTGTTCTCTGAAGACGTGAATAACTTGTATTGTCTGTCTCTGCTACCTTCAGCAATTTCTTTTTTAAGATACTTCAGCAATTTTGCAACGAAACGGCACATGTTTATTGCTTTCTGCTTGCTCGTATGCTCTCTTTACTAGCAATGTTTCTTCATTAACCGTTTGCGCACTTCCAGCGTTCTATACTTCTATTGCAGTGCTCTGTTGTGCAATGGATTTCCTGGCAGTTCATATCTGATATCTTGGCAGTCAGAAACTCCTCTCATCGTCCACTAGCTTATCAGCTACAAGCCTACAACCAAAATTTTAATTTTAAAAATTAATTTTAGAGTTGTTTTCTTTTCTCGTCATAACATATTTTCCAGCATTAGCTTTCGAACCGCTACTAACAACAATATAAAAGTTTTACTAAACTATTTGGGTTCCTCGTTCATTTTCCTAATAGCTTATCAGTCGTAGCTTCAAACTGAAAAAACACCCTCCTAAAACCGTGCTGGTGGTTTAACATCATACAAGATCCCAACAGTGTGAAATGCAAACCTCTGTCTGCTTTTTACCACTCGGTGTGTACAGTGCCATACGCGGGCACACGAAAAACATTCAGAAAAGGCGACAGGTTCTTTCTTTGCGGTTGCAGGAAAAGAGGCCACAACTACTTGCACAAGGGAAGCGAAGAAGGACAGGCGAATACCAGAAGCAAAGGTTTGCACATAAAGCCAGGCCCCAATTTGTAGCAGATGGGCCAAGTTTTCACCGTGTTTTTCACCTCTTTTCAGCTGGGGGACACGGGCAAGGCAAACAAAGCAAATGGACCATTTTCCCCATGGCCCAGGCTTCAGTCCAGTGCACTCCAGGGCTCTAGGCCATCCGTTTTGAGATATTTTCAGGCCTGAATTTTCCCTCTCAAAAACCAGAAACACCCAGATGGACACACCCCGGCACAGTACTCTCACCGACGAAAGGACTGTCTTTTCCCTTATACTTATCAGCCAAAATTTAAATTTTCAACTTTAAATTTAAATCTGATTTTGAGGTTTTTTCATCGAAATTTATTTTTCAACCTTTACTTGTAAGTCGCTAACAACACGTATATAAATGTTTTATTCAGAAATTATTTTTCGTTTGCAAATATACCGTTTTGCTTATTCCGCGAATAAGCCAAACGATGGCTCCGGAAGCTTATATGTTAAAGCTGGGAAAAAAAGGCATTGCCTTATCACCAAATCACACACTACTCCAAGTGAACTCGATTAGCAAAAAAAGAAAAGGTGAACAGGACTTATCTTCCCCGGCCCGTACGTAGCACTCCGATACTCCGGTTTTACTTTACACTCCACTAATCCGTCCTTTTTGGATATCTGTACATTTTCTTTTTTTCTGAACGACTAGCATCAGACAGTGCGAAAATCACACTTGTTCAGTGCCTCTCATCGTCTTCCCCGGCGAGCGGCGGCCGGTGGCGACGCGATGAGGTTGACACGGGCGCCGCCACACGTCGCCGCCGCGATCCATTGCCGTGATACGCTTCGCTTAGCCGCATCAGCTATAAGCTTAGCTAAGCTAAGCTACCTCACACTCATCAGCTCGCCTTTCTACGAGCACCACCACGCTGTGGCCTTATCACTCGATCGACTGATCGGCTACTGATCGATCGGTGACAGGCTGAGAGAAAGCCAAGCTAAAACAGCAGCGAAAGCAGCTGCAGCTAGCAAAGGTGAAGAGAGAGAGAGAAGAAAAAAAAAAGCAAAACCTTAAAAACTAAAGGTGAGATCGCTGTGTATGCAATCGTCTCCCAAATCTTTGCTTTGCCGTGATGGTTCTAATCAAGCAAAAAGCCTCGCCGTGGCCTACCTATCCGAACATTACATGTAGAAACCGCAGCTTTAGAGCCTGGTCCAAAGCAATTTTTTTTCCTGCCTGTCCGAGAAGAACACCCCATGTGTACGCTTACCATATGCATATGTTCATATATCCATCTGAATCCTGGCTTTATGCGAAAGTTTGCTTTTGGTTCTTGGGCAGCTGCAGGTTTGGTTAAGTGTTTGGTCACTAGAGCTTCTTCAGAAAAAGGAGGCTCTAGCAAACTGTAGCTGTGGAATTTCGATCGATCGATCACACATGTCGTTTTTGTGTTGGCACTGCTGCGTTTCTTATCCGCGAATTAAAGAGTGGTCGTCGCTGGTGAAATGGTGATTCCTAGAACAGTGCAGAGGGGGGTCAACTCGGATGCCACCAAAAATTGCAGGATAAAAAAATGGTGTGCTTTAGATAAGATGATGAACCAAGTGTTGAGAGTGATTAGGACGCATGGTTGGAGTGCTTTATTGCGGTGTCTTTTGAAGATAATATGTTGATTATGACCACAGAAACAGGGTGGAAGCAGAGTGAAGGAGTAGCATCAGTTGGGCAAATATCCAGTGCAATCCGGCCGGGTGCATTGGCATAGAAAATAAAAAATTATTGAAAAATCGAGGTCTACACTGTTAAAAAAAATCTGGTCTAATTTATTTTATTAGAGGATGAGGGAAAAAAATTCTGAAAAAGAAATTGGAAAAAGGAGAAAGAAACTGCACATCGGAATTTGTATTGCCTAACGAGTTCAGATTAATTTCTTTGACAGATAAATCCATGTTCTGTCAATGTTATTATACTCTTTCATCACCATTTACATCATATTTTTCCAGACAGAGGGTCCGTGCACTTCTAAGAGTCCCATTGGTTGGTCTAATAAACCAAAGGAAAAATCAAAATTTGAATTTTTCTAACTTAATTTTAAATTTAATTTTTCAAGATATTTTTGACATAATTTTTTTAGCGTTGGCTTTTAAATCACTACGAACAAAAACGTTTTACCTATAAATTAATTTTTATTCTCTAATGAACCATTTTGGTTTATTAGGGAATATGGACGACCGATAAGGTTCAAACTTCATCTGCCTTTATATGAGGTCCGATCGATTGGCAAAGATGTGTAAAATGGACATACAAATAACCTTTTGGTGGTATACAATGCAACTTGTTCTTTTTTTCAACAAAAGGTGTTTGCTATATCTCGTGTTGCATAGGGATGTTAGTGAGTTTAACGCGGACTATATTCTCTCCTTTCTTGGAGAGAAGGATACCACAATTTTTATGCATTTATTGGATTCCCTTGAGACAAGTAGGAGTAGTTGTTTCTTCTTCTTCTTCTTCTTCTTCGAATAGTGGCTGTTTCTCTTTTCACCTCAATCGTTCCTTTTCTAATCAAATCATGCTGATAGGCGCCATTACCTGTGGAGGACTAACTAAAAGTAAATGACAGCCAATCCTGTCAAATATTAAAGACTCACAAGCACAATCCCAAAGTGCAGAAACCATAGCACAAATAAATTGTGGTGCCTTTTTGTCTAATTAAATTACTCACTTTAGCTCATCACTTCATCAGTCCTTTCTGGATGTTTCCTTTGCTACACTACTGAAGTAACATTCTTTTAGACCACTAGTACTAGTACTATATACTCCCTCCGATCAACGACACACTCTACAAGATATACCTTTAACCTTATTTTTCTATTATAATATATACAATAAATAAATGCATGTTTACTTTTATTATAGTGTTTTAAAAAACAAATCTAGTTTCTTTAAACTAAATATTTTTAAAGTTATTGATGGTGAAAGTTATAAAAGTTTAACCTCAACCTTATTCAAAACGTCAATTAATATAGAATCAGAGGGAGGGAGTAGCACTTAAACCTACCCCTTAATTGCATTGGTCAAATAAGTAATACGTCTAGGTGTCAAGCTGCTAATCGACCATAAAAGCAGATTAGTGCAACAAATTAGGCCAGGTGTCCCTACGGCTTATCAATTTGTGGTTTCGTCGACATGACCGGTAAACCGGCCGGTGTACTTGTTGGGAGGGAAAGACAAAAAAACGAGTTCATCATCAGGCAGAAACAGTAGTAGCAAAAGTAAAGGTTTTTCCATAATCACTAATAATGCAATCCAAAGCTTAGAAAAAAGGCAGAGTTTAGTTTGTTCTGATGCATGCAAGCACTACAACTATATAGCTCCGGTAGTGTTGTTGAACTGGATATTTAGAGTGACATTGTCCTTTAGTTAGCTGTCGTCATGGAGCCCATGATGTACTTAATTTGTCGATCGATGATGGTATATGTCAATCCTTGTTAAGGTAGTGGTATGCATTGTAGACGGTGATGGGATGCAGCTCATCAGTTGCCCATAACATGGTCACTCACTTAGTCCTGGATAGATACTCTTTTCTTTGTACTAGAGAATTGCTATTTAGTCGCCGGCCAGCAGCAAAATAATTAACAACATCCTTGAGTTGATCGATCTGTTTGCTTGTAGGCGCAATGCATACGACGAGGCATACGGGTCATACATGTAAGTGCAATATAGATTAATCATTGTTAGAACCAATATAACAGATTTTAGGTTAATTCATAAGTTTGACTAAATTTTACAGGGAAGAGTGTATTAACGTCAACGACATTGATAAAAAATGAAAACTAAAAAAACTTATGAATCTAAGATGCTCATTTGATATTGTAAATATTCTTTTATATATAGAAATTTAGCTTAAATTTACGACAAGGCAAATATATACCCTTGTATTTGGGACGGTGGGAGTTCCGGTTCCTCTGCAGTAAGAGCCACTATTGATGTGAGTAGAACAGTGAACAACTTCAGTGAATATATAGTAGCACTTTACTGTGACTATACAGTATGACATCACTTGTTTTAATTTTTAAGACAAATTTGATTAATTGTAGCTCTTTTATTGTACAGTTTATCCAAACCATTCATGACATATCAAACGATTGTTTCCCTAGTACGATATATTGTAGATATGTAAGAATAACTAACATCAGCACGATACTCTTGTATGTATTAGTTCTAGTACCTCTAATAATAGAGATATATGATACCCTGTTGGTATCAGATCTGATATCTATGTACCATGCTGACGTCAGTATGATACCGTAGGTATCGAATCTGATACCTTCGATATCAAACATGATACTCTATAGGTATTAAATCTGATATCTAGGTACTATAAGTACTACACAGACGTCGTTATAGTATTTCGGTATCGGATTTGGTACCTTTAGTACTAGCCTACTAGGCATGATACAAGATTATATCTGGTATCATCATGATAATATTATTATGATATTAGCCATTCCGTTAAAACTTGTATACCGTTTTGTAGCATTTCTGTATATTTTAGCTCTTTGCCGTATTACATGCTACGGTAGTGAATCCCAAGTCCGGAGTATATACCATGTGCGACACACGTGCTGGCAGAACATGCTCGATCCTGGTAGTAGATTCATGTACTCCAGTTGTTAGCTCGACTGATCGATCGCACTCATCGCCGAAACTCGATCTGTCACGATACTTGCTTTAATCTCGATCGATTAGCAACCGAAGGGGACACTCTTGAAAGTGCAACTAATCACATGAACACACAGTTAATTACTTAATTTCTCTGTAGCAACTATCAAACGATAACCAACCATATGTTTGCATGCAGCTTGCCCACGTACCTGATGATCACTCTCGTACAGTTAAAGTTAGGCACAGATCACCGTCATCACTTGGCACGTATACGTGTAACACAACTACATTACCCACCTAAACACGTGTCACCCACGCTTTGAGCTCGCCGCTGTCACGTTTTTTTCCATGTGAGATGCAGTTGCCTCTCCTCTCCTCTAGCTAGGACATGTTTAGTTGGGAAAATAATTTTACCCCTTCATATCATATTGGATATACCGATATATATTTAAAGTATTAAGTGTAGTCTAATAACAAAACAAATAACATATTCCCTTATAAAACTAAATTTATTAAGCCTAATTAATCTATCATTAGCAAATGTTTACTGTAGCACAACATTGTCAAATCATGACGCAATTAGACTTAGGGCCTGTTCACTTTGATAAAAAAAAAACCTAATTTTAACAAACTTGTCAAAATTTTGGCAGGATTTCTTATATAGTTACCAAATTTTGGTAGCAAACTAAATGTAACCACTTTTTTTTTGGGAGTACCTATACATCTTTCGAAAGATTTTTATAATCGTACCACACAGATTTTTAATATTTATATTAAAATCCGATAGATATAATAAAAAGCAAAAAGCAATTAAGAAACACCATAATGAACATTAAATTACCATATCCTCAAGAAAAAGACCAAATCCAATAAAAAATTTAAAATTTACATGTGAAGATTCAAAAATTACAGTGTAACTTACAAAAGTTACAGTGTAAGTTTCATAAATTACACTGTAACTTACAAGAAAATGCACTGTAAATTTGAGTGAGAAAATCGAGTGAGAGATAAGAAAAAATCTTTCGAGTGAGATATAGCAAAATCGTTTTTTTTTGACAACTTTACCAAAATTTGGTAAGGTTGAAAAGGGAGTACCTATACATCTTTCGAAAGATTTTTATGATCGTATCACACAGATTTTTAATCTTTGGATTAAAATCCGATAGATATAATAAAAAGCAAAAAGCAATTAAGAAACACCATAATGGACACTAAATTACCATAACCTCAAGAAAAAGACCAAATCCAATACAAAATTTAAAATTTACATGCGAAGATTCAAAAATTACAGTGTAACTTACAAAAGTTACAGTGTAAGTTTCATAAATTACACTGTAACTTACAAGAAAATGCACTGTAAATTTGAGTGAGAAAATCGAGTGAGAGATAAGAAAAAATCTTTCGAGTGAGATATAGCAAAATCGGGTTGAAAATGACATCAAAGTGAAAAGCCCTTAAAAAATTCGTCTCGTAATTTTCTAGCGACCTGTATAATTGTTTTTTTCTACATTTAATACTTTATATATGTGTTCAGACATTTGACAGCTAAAAAATTCCATCGCGTGCATGTGTGTGCATCGTGATTCGTGCCCGCCGCGGATACGACAATAACATATGCCGTGCATGCCAGGTGGCGGCATCCGCCACCACCAACGGCGACACGTAGGACGGCTGGAGGGTCCCGCGCGTCAGATCCGGGCTGGGCTTGTGGCGCACGCGCCTGACACGTGCGCAGCGTCCGCGAGCCATCGATCCGGTGCATCGCGCGGCGGCCATTTACTTCGCGATTAAGCTAAAGACGAACGACGACGAGGTGGGGCCCACGCCCACGTCGCACCAACCGGGGCACCCACAAAAGCAGCGCGACCGCGACGTCGTCATCTAACGCGGACGCCCATCTCCACCGTCCGATCTCGCCACTAGGAGTGTTTCCAACCGTCGGATCGTTTGCGCGCGTAGATACGGATATACTTGTAAGCGAGGGGTAGAATCTCTCTCTCGGTGCCACAGCTTTAAAGTTAGTTTTTAAAAGTTACGGGGGGAAATTTTAACTCTCACGAAGAAGAAGAAACCCCACGTAACCGTTGGGCCCGCGAAGTGGGTGGGGCCCACTGCTCGAGTGTCGGGGTATGGTCTCGGGTGGTCTGCCTATAAATACCAGCCATTTCCTCATCGTTCCTCCCTTTTCCCCGATTCTCTACTTCCCCCCTCTAGTTTTCTGAAATTGCGGATAGGTCCTTCTTTTTTGTGTGTTGGGACTTGGGAGAGTGAGAAAAATGCTGTCAGTGCAGGAGGCGCTTGACTTTGACCTGGACGCGATGACGTCCGGGTTCGGGTTCACGCCGTGGGCGGCTGACACGTGCCCTACCTTGGAGCAGCTGATGGCGTCGTCCGCGTCGCCCTCGCCGTCGTCGTCGCTTGATGACAACGCGGCGGCGGCGGAGGAGGAGAACGGTGAGGTGGAGGAGGAGGAGGAGCGGAGGCGGCAGCGGCGGAAGGTGTCGAACCGGCTGTCGGCGCGGCGGTCGCGGGCGCGGAAGCAGCAGCGGCTGGAGGAGCTGCGTGGGGAGAGCGCCCGCCTCCGCGCCGAGAACCGGGAGCTGGCGGCCAGGCTGCACGCCGTGGCGCGCCACGGCCTCGCCGCGCGGTGCCAGAACGCGCGCCTCCGCGCCGAGGCCGCCGCGCTCGCCCGCCGCCTCCTCGCGCTCCAGCGGCTCGCCCGCGGCCGCCACATGATGATCACGGCGTCGCCGCCGCAGTTCTCGCGTCGCTGATGGCGTAGAAGGCGCACACAGGTGAAGTTTTGGAACGGACGATGGGTAACTTTGTCGTGAGATGGAATGGACGACGCTGTGCATGGCGCACTACTTAGCTAGTGAAAGGGGTCTCTCGTGTCGACGTAGTATACAGTGCACGTACGTGTACATTGCATGGACGTATGACTGATATAAGTACATGGAACTTGATGTAAATTATTACGATCACTACTACCATTCTACCAAAGTTAAAATTAAATATATTACCAGTTTTTGTTGCATCGACGACGTCGACGCCTGTACGTGTCCGAATCCACGTGCTCTCATTTTTGTAACGGGATGATCGAGGACTCGATCGTGTGTACTGTCTGTGGGCAAACGGAAAGGAGCTGTCCATGTCTTGTTTGTACAGCGAGATTAGGAGAGCCACAAATGAGATCAGTGTGGGACACTAGTTGTCTACTTGCTTAGTTGCTCCTCTCGTGGACTCCAAATTAATCATACTGTGGGTCGCTGTGTATGCAATCGAAGTAACCCGGCAAATACGACAAGCACAGCTGCACATGTCCACACACAACACAATGCATAGCAGTAACACCAACTTGCTAAAACAGTGTTACGCGAAATGAACAAATAAATTGTGCTTGTATAAAAATTTTGGCTAGCTGTCGCAAACCAAAGTAGGAGTACCTAGTACCGGTAAAAAAACTTGTTAAACACTCGTGCGTACGGATTGAATCAAAGCCAAATAGCACATGATACTCAACATTACTGATTACTACTACTACTACTTAGTATACTAGTATAAAAATTTAAAATAGTGTTCACTTCCCCCTAACGTTGTGTTTTGTCGTTTCTTTTTGAGAATGACTCATATTTATATTTTTTGTACTTTGAATTTGCAAAATACTTCAACAATAATGTCGTGTTCTTTCAGTAAACAGCTCGTGCAGATTTATCCTAGAGTGGCCCTATGTGGTATCCTAATTTATGTTAAACCTAGCAAGATCAGTTACGATATATCCTAATTTCTTCTGTCTTGGTTCATAGGCACCAAAGAAGTTCATGCATCTGAACAAACATTTTACATTTTGTTTACGTACTACTTCCTCCGTTTCACAATGTAAGACTTTCTAGCATTGTCTACATTCATTTAAATGTTAATAAATCTAAACACATACATATGTCTAGATTCATTAATATTTATATGTATGTGGCTGTGGGCAATGCTAGAAAGTCTTACATTGTGAAACGGATGGAATAGATTGATATTACGCACCCACAAATTCATGTAGGAGTACTTCTTACTAGATTGATACTACACAGGAAAACTTGTTCATGTGGTGCTTCGATCCGGTGGGTCCGTCAGTCAGCCGGTCATAAGGAGTACCGTTGTGCTAGTATGCGCATGCTTAGCTTTTTAAGCGCCATGTTTCTTCCAAGTTTCGTTATGTAAATAATTTTATCAACGAATAAAAAAATAAGTGTTTAATTAAAATTTTGAAAATTTGAGGTAGAATTTGTTTATTCAAATTTTAGTATAAACATTTTAAAAATTATGTTGAAATATTCAAATTTTGGTTGAAGTTTTCTAAATGTTCAATATAACGTTTTAATAACTGAGTTGAAAGTTTCAAATTTTCAGTAGAAAGTTTCAAAGCTTTTATTGTGAACCACCTAATAAGAGAAAAACGATTTTGCTATATCTCACTCGAAAGATTTTTTCTTATCTCTCACTCGATTTTCTCACTCAAATTTACAGTTCATTTTCTTGTAAGTTACAGTGTAATTTATGAAACTTACACTGTAACTTTTGTAAGTTACACTGTAATTTTTGAATCTTCGCATGTAAATTTTAAATTTTGTATTAGATTTGGTCTTTTTCTTGAGGATATGGTAATTTATTGTCTATTATGGTTTTTCTTAATTGCTTTTTGTATTTTATTATATATATCGGATTTTAATCTAAAGATTAAAAATCTGTGTGATACAATCATAAAAATCTTTCGAAAGATGTATAGGTACTCCCTATAAATCTTGCGACAGATTTCATGTTACATATCATTCGATTTTTGGACCGTTTGATTGCGTCAAGATTCGTGCTTACACGGGTGGGAAAATAAAATGTGCGTGTTCACGTGTAAGCGAGGAGTCGACCGCACGATCTCTTGTTGCCGAACAAAGGCCTTTAATTTTACCAACTGAGCAAGGAACCAATATTGATTTTGTATCTAAAGAACAGACTTACATACTACGTACAAATTAATTACAGTGTAATTATGTAATAATCACACTGTAACTACTAAAATTACAGTGTAACTATACTAAAATTATAATGTAACTATACTAAAAGTACATTGTAACTTTTTAATGCATATGTTGATGACATTTTTATTTTTTTATTAAACCTCTTTAGACTTATAACTGTCAGATTGGGTCCGTTGTTACGATTAAGCTAGCCCGTTTCCCTCTTCAACGTGGCGCACATCCATATGTTAAAAAATCCGAGTGAGATGAATGAAAAAATCATTCGAATGATTGCTAGACACTCCCGACCCAAAATGACTCCAGGCCCGCTTCGGTCGGCATGCGCACGTGGGCATCGGCGCTCCGAGTCCTACGAGGCCGGAGGTAGAAGAGACCCACAAGGGTACGAGCAAAATCTGAAGGAATCCAATCCACGAACGGCCCAGCAAGAGCCCACCATACTATCCAGCCCGTCTCATCTCCGCCGCTTAAAACCCCCGGCCGCCGGCGAAGCCCACCGCAAATATCGCAATTAGCCCTAACCCCCTTTCTTCCTTTTCTTCCTTCCTACGCACACGCACGCAGCCGAGAGCAACGGCAGCGGCAACGGGGGGCGGTCTCGCCGGAGGCGGTCACGGGGGGATCGATGCTGGAAGAGAGGAAGCTGTTCGTGGCGGGCCTCCCGCAGCAGACGCGGGAGGGCGACCTGCGGGGCCACTTCGCCCGGTACGGCGAGGTGGTGCACACCCGGGTGGTGCTCGACATGGCCAGCGGCAACAGCCGCGGCTTCGGCTTCGTGGAGTTCGCCGACGAGGCGGCGACGCTGAGGGCGCTCGCCGACGACGAGATGCCCAACCACGTCTTCCGTGGCCGCAAGGTGAGGCGACCCCTCCCCCCGCTCGATCGCCGGCTTGCCGCTGTCGAGATCGATGCTTGTTGATTACTGCTGATTAGTTCAACCTGTGCTTGTTTCGGGTTGAACCTGGCTTGCTGTGATCATCGGGCGGTGTCTATTGGATTAGTAGATTAAATGTGGCTAATTTCCGGTTGTATACCTGGGTTTACCATGATCATCGGGTGGTGGATTAGTATTAGGTTAGTAGATTACATTTGTTCGAATTGATGGGGTTAAGTGATAAGGAAGCTTGCGGAGATCTTAATGAAGGTTAATTAGTTGGAATATATGTGCACCCTTTAGAATTTAGAATTCATGTTACTCCTAACTGGTGAGGAGGTCCACAAGCACGTTTAGTCAATGTGAATCATTGTCAGCTTAGATAGGGATGAAACCCATATATATATATATATATATATATATATATATATGAAAATAAGCTTGATAGGTTACATCTGTGGAATCAAGGTTCTATACTTCTATTCTTATGTAGATATAGTAAAATACACTACTGAAATTAATGCATTCGGCAAAACTTGCAACCACAATGTAATTTACAAAGGAGTTAAGCTTGTCGTGATAATTTTGTTCTACCTAATTGGAAGTTTTGCCACCTCTTTGTAATTTACAAACGAGTTAAGCTTGTCGTGATAATTTTGTTCTACCTAACTGGAAATTCCCTTAGATATCTTCTGGGTGGTGTTTACTTTACATCTCACACCTTTACTCCTAAGCACATTGGAGTTATGATCTAGTTTTGTCATTATTTGAGTTTTATTTGTTTATATAATTATTTTTAGTATGTTTTTAATCAAACAACTTATTGATGCATTTGATAGGTTGATGTTAAGAGAGCCGAGCGTAGACATGATCATAAGCAAACCAGTCCATCTATTAAGAACCAAAACGACAGCGTGCAGAAAAATCAATTTATTTTTCAAAAGAAGGTCTTTGTTGGTGGTTTGCACGAAACTGTTACAGTGAAGGACCTCATAAGTTATTTTGAGAAATTTGGCACCATAACGGATGCTGTGGTCATGCGTAATAGAACTACAAATAGAGCAAGGGGATTTGGTTTCATATCTTTTGATTCACATGAAGCTGTGTGCAAGATACTACTAAATAGGTTCCATAATTTAAATGGAAGGGATGTCGAAGTTAAAATTGCCGTCCCAAAGAGTCCAACCTACTCAGAGGCAAAATATTATCACATGAGAATGGATATGAGTTTAAGTCCTATCACTTATTATGATGGAATGGTCCATGTCCATCCATACACACCATACACATTTGGCTGTGTTACACCTCTTGCTCACTTAACTCATTCAGGTTATGGTTATGGAGGACCTATTGATTATTCATGTTATGCTTATGGAGGACCAATTGGACATCAGCATGATCTTGTGGGTTCTTACTATTATGCTAAAGATTATAGCAAAACTACTCCTATCGACCTCGATACCACAGATACCACAAAGAAATGACTTGCTGGTGAGTGCTACTTATGTGGATTTAATTATTTTTATAATATATTTTAGTAGATCAATAGTCTCTTATATCTTTAAATTTTTACTTGATTTGCTACCATTTGTTTATAGTGTTTCAGATTTACTTCAAATATATATGCCCCATGTTTTTAGTTGTTGATTGTTGATTGAGTAACTAATGACTAATGGATGTGTCTTACCATGACATAGTTGACTTTTATTTTATGTTGTATATAATTTGGATTGTCTTTGTGGTTTGCTTTACTGGGCACCACAACTCTTTCGATATTTGCCTTTCATACAAATTGATATTATAAATTCAGATTAAAAAAATGATTTAACCATTTATTCAGTTATCCTCTTCCCACTCATTTTAAGTTATTACTCCATTACAAAATAAATGTTTATAGGAGACAATGTTCACAAACTCTCAAAAGTTTTACATTGAGGAAAGTTTTACTGTACAATCGATTTTTGTTTCCCCTATTACATATCCCTTAAGGTCTATTTATAGGTTTATAGGCAGGTTTACAACCTAGGGTTTAGTGTGCTAATAATTTTTATATATAATTGTTTCTCTGATAGGGACATATATATAACTAGCATCTTTTGGCTCATTAGGCTGGTTCATCGTCATTATTCGGCCACCACCATGCCGCCTACAGGGCCTTCCTCTTCTTTTTTTTTTGGCTTTCGTCTTACATTGTTAGGCTTTCACAACCTGGTGCTTTGCTCCCTTGTTTCGCCTAGCTCCGCGTCGCCTAGACTTCATACCGCGCCGCTTCGACAAGCTCACTTGTTATTATTTCACCTAGCCTCGTGTCATCTGGCCTTCGCCTTGCGCTGCTTCGCCAGGCTCATTAGTTGCTTCGGCATGCCAGTCAAAGGCCCTCATAGCATGCCTCCAACAATCTTTAAATATCAAAAATATTTGATTGAACAAAAGGATTTTAATTTGTCATTCTGTTATATAATATCATTTATGAAGGACACTATTTGATACATATAGGAAGTTGTCTGTAAATGGGTTGACACTTACCGCTACAGTTGGGTCCAAAGTTTAAGTAGATGCACACAACAAGCCTAATAAAACAATATAACTAACATACCATTATTGGATTCATGGTTTGAATGTGTAACATAAACTAATGATATTATTGTCGCGTACAACCACACAAACTTGTCCGGATTCATGGTTTGAATGTGTAACATAAACTAATGATATTTTTATCGCGTACAACCACACAAACTTGTCCGTATTCATTCAGTTGTGTTGTTTCTTAGTATAATGGTACTCCTTTTGTCCTGGTGTACTTTACTCTTACTTTCATTGCAAGGATTATTTATATATTTCCTTTATATGATGATTTTGTCGATAGTTTCATTGCTAAGATTTTATATATATATATATATATATATATATATATATATATATATATATATATATATTTCCTTTATATGATAATTGTCGGTGATATGGGCCCGGGGGTATCAGGTTTAGAGGGAGGAGGCTGCCCCCCGATGCCACGTGGCCCTCCCCGGAGAGGAGTCAGACCCGAGGTGGCGTGGCGGCCACTCCTTCCCAAAGACTAGTCGGAGGAGGCTGCCCCCCGATGCACGTGGCCCTCCCCCGAGGGGGGGAGTCAGGCTCGAGGTAGGGCGGCGGCTACTCCTTCCCAGAGACTGGATGGAGGAGGCTGTCCCCCGATGCCACGTGGCCCTCCCCCGAGGGGGAGAGTCAGGCCCGAGGTAGGGTGGCGGCCACTCCTTCCCAGAGACTGTATGGAGGAGGCTGCCCCCCGATGCCACGTGGCCCTCCCCCGAGGGGAGTCAGGCCCGAGGTGGGGCGGCGGCCACTCCCTGGCCGAGACTAGAGGGAGAAGGCTGCTCCAGGCGTCACGTGGCCCTCCCCCTGAGAGGGGATCGGGCCCGAGGTCGGGCGGCGGCCGCCCCCTCTCGTGACTAGGGGTCGGGCTCCCCCGACCCCCTCTCTAGGTCACCATGTACGGTGGGTTAAGTGTCCGCCTCCAGGTGGCCACCTACCCGCATTTATGGCTGCCCGAGTAGTCGCGTCACGCCGCATTTAATGCGGTGTGCAATGCACTCAACCGGTCTGTGACCGGTCGAATGACCGATGGGACTAGGGTAGTGCGCCTGTGCGCTGCTCGTGTGTCAGGCAACGTGCAGCCTGACATGTCCCATCAAATAATGATGGTGAGAGGTTCTCATCCTCTTATCCTAGCCGGAGTCGGTCCTCCCGCTCTGGTCAAAGCAAGGCTCCCGTTTCCCGGTATAATAGGAGCCCAGAAGTCCTCACCTATTAAATGGTGACTGACGGGGGCACCCCCCGTGTCAGGCGGCAATATTTGACAGGCCTCATCATCAAGATGACGTGCGCTTGCTTCCCAGGTCAAAGAGACAAGACATGCATTTAATGCAAAGATTGTAATCCTTCTCCACTAAGTTATGTTTTTGGGCCCATGTGATAACCCCTTAAGATATAAAAGGAGGTCCAGACCTAGTAGGAGAGGGGAGGGTTGGAGCCCCTGATGATCAACACCTTCTACCCCAACAAGGAGATCTTGTAATTTCTCACAAGATCAGCTAAGCACAGGAGTAGGGTATTACGCTTCTCAGCTTGATTTCTTTCTTGTAGTGTGAGTTTTCAATAATACTTTAGTTTATAGTGTTACTCTCGGTCTCACAAAATAAACCTAGTGAACATATATTAGTACAAAAAAATCTGAATAAAAGGCTGTCTAGATTTGTCACACATAAAAAAGACAAACCATATCCAGGTTCATAGCGTCACGAACCTGGACACGCATATGTCCATATGTCTTGGACACGCATATGTCCATATGTCCAGTTTCGGGTTTTTTTAGTCATATGTCCAAGTTCATAGCTAGGATTGGGGTTTTCTTTTGAGTCATATGTCCAGGTTCGTAGCTAGGATTGGGGTTTTTTTGGAGTGTCCTGGTTCGTAGTTAGGATTGGGGGTTTTTCTTTTTTATTACGGTGGGGTAGTATATATAAGCATCCTCCCAAGAATGTGGGAAATGCTAGAATGACTTACATTGTGAAATGGTGGGAGTATGGTTGAAAATGTCATCAACCTGAACAGCCCCATAAACTTTTTTTAATCTAGTTACCACTCATGATACTAATTATATTCATAGTTTTTGTCTAATCCGTTTTTAAGTATGGAGTAGCTATATTTTAGAATGAGTGAGTATATAAGTCTAAGAGCAACTTAGTTAAAATGTAATGATTGTTTGGTTTTCTTTGAAAGATGACTTGTTTTGGTATGGAAAGAATATTACTTATTGCATCGGAGCATTTGTTTATTTAATCAGTCTTCAATGTGTTTGGTGTGCACAAGGTTGTGTGCGGTAAGATTTTCTACTACAATATTTCTTTTAGAAAAAAGACAGAAAGAAAAGATTGTTAGAATAGGTGTCGAATATACTAGTTCTATTTGGTTACAGTTGGACTTAAAGATGCAATAGGTGTTAGGGGGTGGGGTTAGAGTCGAACTCTATAACCCGGCATCTCTCTTAAATAAAGAGGTTGCACCACAATGTAATCATGGCGATTACAATGTAACGTAGATACGCAGGGAGATGATGGCGGCGAGGCCATAGACTCGTAGCGGCTAGGAGCTATTTTGGTTGGGGAGGAGTGCCCATAATCAAAGCCTATGGGATGTAGGCTTTGACTAAACCTCGTTAACAAATATAGTGTGTTCATGTGTCGTCATCTAGCATGTATTGGGTGATCAATGATTGAATCGATCGAGAAGGTTAGTCATCGTTCCGTTATATGGACTAAGGCCCTGTTTAGGTGGTGTTTGGGTGGTTTAGTCCCTCTCACCAAAAGACTTATATTTTGATGAGAGGGGCTAGAGGTGTGTTTAGTTCGCGCCAAAATTAAAAGTTTAGTTGAAATTGGAATGATATGATAGAAAAGTTGGAGGTTTTTGTGTGTAGGAAAGTTTTGATGTGATGGAAAAGTTGAAAGTTTGAAAAAAAAATTTGCAACTAAACACGGACTAAACTTTAGTCCCTCTCCCACCCAAACACCACCTTAGATCCCAACTTTTTTCTTTAAACTTTCAACTTTTCCATCACATTGAACTTTCCTACACACACAAATGGTGTGTTTAGTTCACACCAAAATTAAAAGTTTGGTTAAAATTAAAACAATGTGATGGAAAAGTTGAAAGTTTGTGTGTGTAGAAAAGTTTTGATGTGTTAGAAAAGTTGAAATTTTGAAGAAAAAAATTGGAACTAAACTCTACTCCCACTAGAAGGAGTAGAAGCCGTAGCAGCAACAACTAGGCTAGTGCTTTAGGCATGGCAAGGCCCACAGAAGCTATGGTGAGTGAGCTGACCCCTCGTGTCATTCCTTGTCCCTCTTCCGCCTATTACTACTAGCTCTTCGTCCTCATCAATGCGTGCTTGCATGGCCATGTCCATGGAACACGAGACGCCAGAAAGAAAGATGGAGTCGAATGCTCTCATCTCATCTCTCTCGCAAAGTCGTCTACTCGATCCTTTTCACATGCTCTTATTATACCCTAAAATTGATGTCGATATCGATGTGGTGAGATGATGGATGGATGGAGAAGACGGGCGAGTACGTGATGGATGGGCGATGCGCCATGGAATCGCCGATTTCGGGGCGCCGAACATTTTCCGTCCGGCCACCGATCCATCCATCGATTGATTTGAATCCGCGGTTTGGTTTTGCTGCTGCTCCGCCTGTCTTTGCTTTGCTTTCGCTTGGACAGGAGCTGGAAGCCTGGAACTGCTGTTGCTGTTGCTTGGTTTTGTTGGTTGCTTGCCGTCTCCATGCATTACTCCGTTTTGATGCCGGGGTAGATGAGGAGGAGTAGATATATTGATGGGGTCAACTGTGACTTTTTACAATGGTGGTCAGCAACTGCAATTGAGGTCTTGAATGCTGCCATATTGGGAGGAGTACTGAGAGATTTGGCCTGAGACCAAAGGGCCTGTTTTAGTTCCCAGAACAAAAATGTTTGCACACATACATTGAGTATTAGATATATGAAAAAAACTAATTATACAGAATACGTGTAAATTGCAAGACAAATCTTTTAAGACTAATTGCGCCGTGATTTGGTAATGTGTTCATACAGTAAATATTTGCTAATGACGAATTAATTAGGCTTAATAAATTCGTCTCGCAATTTCCTGGCAGAACCTGTAATTTGTTTTGTTATTAGAGTACGTTTAATACTTCAAATGTGTGTACGTATATCCGATGTGACAACCAAACCTAAAAATTTTCCCCAACTAAACAAGGCCTTAGTTTGCGAGACGAAAAGTTTTAACGTGTCACATCGGATATGAATTAACCTAATTTTCTCCTACTGGGGCATCCATCGAAGCGGCAGCGTCGGTCCTGGATGGGGCGGAGGTGATGGGTAGCGCCTTGTGAGGATGGTGCTCCGAGAAGACTGTGCGGTTGGTGCCAACGCCGACGCGGAACGGGGTGGTGAGTGCGAAGCCAGCAGCGGAACGGGGTGGTGGGTGCGAAGCCGTCAGCGTCCAACAGGAGCGAGGTGGAGCCGAGGAGTGTGAGGTTGCTCGTCCACGAGATGTGCTGGTAGGAGGCGCCGGTCCCTTATTTCCTCTGCCATCAGCACAACCCCCTACGGCGCCGGCTTGGAGATCGGGCGGAGGCTTCCCAAGACGATGACGCCTCTTGCTCCTTCCTTCCATGGCTTCGGTTGGGACGATACGAGACGGTAACGGACGAGGACGTAGGCAGTGGAGGCGGTGACCCGGCGGGCGGGAGGCCTCTCCGTCCACTGGCGGAAGAGGCGACGACACAGCGGGCAGATTCCGGTGGATCAGAGAGTATTCAGGGAAAGAGAGATAGGGGAAGAAGGCATGGGCCCCACTGATGGTAAGCCGGCTTTGGCTGGCCATGTTTGGTTAGTGAAGGAGGTTTGGCTAGGGAGATGGCTTGGCCATCTAGATTGTAAGTCTGTTGGAATCCATTTTTTATTTAAAATTGTTAAATTTTGATTTGGAGAGTAGGATAGCAACACTGCTGAAGATGCTTACTCCTATGTTTAATGAAGCAGAAACTAGTGGCGCTGTAAATGTCACTTCTCTCTTAAACTAGTCGCGCTGTAAATGGCATTTTTCTCTTCTTGGTTCTGGCTCTCTGCTGCAGGAGTAAACAAGCTGATTTGAATGAGAACTGTGCCTCTGACTCCCCAGCATTGCTCACCATGCAAACCAACCCAGTCTGCCGAATTCCTAAAGAGGAGAAATCAAAGATGCATCCCTGCCCTCCCGACCAAACTCTACTCATGTGTGGGCGATGCCTCACTGGTGACGAAGCAGTACATATAAACAGTATTTTGTCCTCCATGGACAATTTATTGGCAAAATTTCATGGCCAAGCAGGCAAGCACTGTGTGTCGTCTTGGTCTCTTAGAGACCATAATTCAGTCTGAGTTCCGGACAAAAAATATTCAGGTCGAAATTGATTGCTGTTACTATTGCTAGATTGCAACGCGGCTTAGTTTTGCCTTTCCTTTTTCTCCATCTTTGAATAATCAATTATTCATATTTGAACGTACGCGCCATTTTTTTCTTATCTTAGATCAAAGTTGAATTACTCTGATCAGAGTTCAGCTCGTACAATGTACTTTCACTTCAAGTTTATAAAGCATCTTCAGATTAGTTTTTATTAAATTCACCATTAAATATATTAAATTTTCTAGTATATTTGTTTAGTGTTAAAAATATTACTGCATTTTGTCAACTTGATCAAACTCTAAAAAAAAACTTAGAGTAAACCTAAAATAACTTATGGGGCTCGCGATGAGGACATCACTCCTTGATACTAGGTGAAACCCCGCGCATTGCTGCGGGAATTTAGTATGAAGATATACATCGAAACATTATGTGAATTATGTTGGATGATAATTTAACATGTTTGTATTTGAAAAGCTCTTAAATTATAAAAACTATAAAGATATAGCATGTTTGCATGATGTTTAAATGTGATGATTGTTAGTGGATGATGATGTGACATCTTGTTAATTAGTGAATGATGATGTGGCATCTTGTTAGTGGATGATGATGTGGCATCTTTGCATATTAAGCTTAAGGAGTTAGTGGGGTATAACTTTATAGTAAGATAGGATACGCGTGAGGGGAAGTGAGAAGCACTTAGAGAGAGGCTTGAGACAGAGGTATAATTCATATCAAGTTCGAGGACACCTCGGAATCCAAGAGTAGCACACACTAAAATTGACACCTAGAACTCATTCGGACTCGGTTTTTTACGTTCTATATATGTATGAAAAGGTAACGAGATCGCCTTTCCAATGGGTCTGGTCTCATATCAAAACTCCTATTGAGTATCAGGAATCATCAAAACAAAAGAGCGTCCATAATCTTTTCAGATGATGTGTTAGCATCTTTAGGCCCGTGTACCATATTGGAGTTTGTTCGGGGGTCCTAGGTTGATCCTAGAACTTAATCATTTAGTAGTTGTCATTGGATTAGGGTTGAGTTTTATTTAGATTATTCCGTCGTTGCAGTTTCACCACTTAGTTCAGTTTGTGCAACCCCAACTTGTGAGCTTCATTGTATATTTGCAATATATTCAGATTGCTTCTTATACTCTCTTGTTTGTGTTCTTGATTCGCTTGCTGGAGATAGACTTCTCCACGAGGTTAACCGCGTTTTGGCACGGTTGATAACCAACGGAGCAATTGTGTAGTGAATGATAATGGTTCGATCGTTCTGGTCGGAGCCTTTGGATCATCAACATCGAGTCTACACAATTGATTTATCCTTACCTATCGGAAGATTGGAACCTGGTTCCTCATCAGCTCGTTCAAACTGTTATCAAAATCATCCATACCAAATTTTTAATATGGCCAAATTAATTTTGGCAAGGCAACAAACTGAACAAGATTTTAACATCGCAACATCGCCAATCCCTACCAACATTTGATAGTTTCAGAAAAACTTCTACTCACAAAATTATACCAAATTTTGGTAAGATATCAAATCAAGCATTACCTTTTTACATATTGATCTTGTAAAAAAAAACTGGCATTGCCAAATTTTAACTTTACCAACAAATTGTAAGTTTTTTTTTCTTTTTTTGCAATATACTTCAAAGTAATCAACAAGCCCATAGTATAAAACGAGGGGAGCGCTCTGTATTTATAGCTCATTTGGAACGCACGATTCTTAACATAGGAACGGGAAAAAAGAAACGTAAGATTGAAAGTGTCATGTCACCTTAAATCCTATGAATTAAAGAAACACGAGAAATTAACTGCAAGAATAACCGTTTGGATTGAGAAAAAAAATGTAGAAATCATAAGAGAAATACACATATATAGATGATTTTCCTAAGAGGTTAAATCTCATGTTAAAATCCCTAAAATTTCCTATTTTTGAGCCAATTCAAATAAAGGACCACACGATTTTTTTGTCCGTAGGAGTAGATCCCTAAAACAAAAAACTTTTTCCAAAGAAGTCCGGCATGTAGGAACTAGCTATATCATTCCAACGTACTAATCTTCTAGTATATATCCGTATTCTCCTAGTAGGCACCTTGTCTCATAGTAGCACTCTCTTTTCTTTCTTTCTAATCTTGTTGCCAACTTGAGGCACTCGACTGATCTAGTACTACCAGACTACCTCTCCACAAGAGGCCAGGCCAGGACAAACTATGCACACATAGAAACGACGCCGGTGTGCATTGCATGCAGCTGTTTCGCTTGCTGCAGAGGCATGAAGAAAAAGCAAGACAGAATGAGAAAAAAGGCAAAGCAAAAAAGGCACAGAGAGAGAGAACACAGGTTGCACAGCACAATGGGGAGCAAAGTGGCCTATTTTCAGCCTTGCACACTGCACCCCTCTCTCTGATGAGAGAGATGATGATCGATCGATCAGCCATGGCTGGCCATCTCTACTGCTCCCCTTGGCTTTAATCGGCCATGGCCATGGCAGCTGGGTGGGGAATGTGGAGGCATGCATCACGAGTACCTGTGCCCCCACACACGCACGAGACCCAACCGTTTCCAGCGGCGCCGCGGCAGCAGCAGCCAGCAGGAGGTGTATCTCTCTCATCGCTGCAGGAATTAGGGCTCCTAGGCATGTACATTTCGGTGTAAAATCTCCATCAATGGCTCTCTCTCCTTCTCAGAAGTTCAGATACCAGCATTGCAAGTTTTTCAACCACCTACTGTTCATTGGTCTCAGGCAGTCAAAAGCTATAGTATCTGTCTACTTCGTACAAGGATAGCATAAAATTAAATCACAGTAGTAGAATGTTTAATTAGCGATGCAGATAATATCCTTTGGGTATGAGTGACGGTGATGATGACGAACTGCAGCAAAGTAGGAGTATCTCCCTTGGCGTACGAGACGCTAGCTGAATGATTGATACATCACGTACCAATCTCCATCGGTTTCATACTCTCATCATGTACTGGTGTGTGCATGTTCTGACAGACTACGTACAAAAAAAAAACGTGAAATACCACACAGCATCTCAAGCTGATTCTGTATTCTGTAGTAGTACGTACCATCTCTGCAGGCGGCTCGTGTAAGAGCATCTCCAGCAGGGACACTAAATATAGCCCCTAAACAGATTTTGGGTGTTAGAGGCTAAAAAACTCAATCCAGCAGAGCCCCTATCAAGGATCCTAAATTAGGTAGGCACCCAAATAACCTTTCCTAGCCCCCAGTCTCAGGGGCTCTACTGCACAGCCCCCATCCACAGTTAGAAAAGCGCGGGAGCCGCCCGACGTGGTCTTGGTCCGCCGGCACCTCCCCTGCCCAGGGCTCATCCCCGGCTGGTGCGGCTCCTCCCTGCCTACCGTGTCATCCCTCAGGTGCATTCCTCTACCCGACGCTCCTTCCCGGCCGACGCGTCTGCTGTACCTGGAGTCTCCTCTAGCCTGCACCCTCTGCCTAAACTCGATGAAAAACATGGCCCAGTGGCCGAGTCATGCGATGGCGTCGAGGCACTGGATGATTCAAGTGTTGTTGCAGGCTGCGAAATTGAGAAAGTAGTAGCAGGGTAGCACTAGCAGTTACGATTGTGGGACTTAGAAGAATGGGGAAAGTGATACATGCGATGTGCTATGCAGCTTTTTTGTTGCTTTGCTTGGTTGTTGCTTCGTGAGAGAAGTAGCTGGTCTATTGGTGGATGAGAAGACGGGAAAAATCAACACATGTGAGAAAATGCATGGAAGCGCCACAGCAGCATAAGCTCGTTTTACCCGAGCTATGAATACATGCTACTAGGATTTGTATTTCCATTTTATTTTTTTTAAAAGAATCGAATTTGAATTGTGAATTTAAATATGGTTGGATTATTATGGTTTTATACTAGGAGTAGCGTAGAGTATAGAACTATAGATTTGTACTTTAAAGTATATGTTAAAATAGAAGATGAAATGAAATAAGGGGCGAGAAAAGAGACTGCTGTTAGAGTTAAAGGTATTTTTTAGGTACTTAGAAAATAGGGGAAGCTCCCATTAAATGATGCTCTAACACTGCTCCAGTTTGCTCGTACAGTACGTACTAAGTTAAACTACAGTGACGACCAAAAGTAAAAAAAAAATGGAATCTGCAATGGCCTACGGAGTACTATACTAACCCCCACAAAATTCTCATATGAAACAAACAAAAACTCCAGCAGCTTCACGCCAACGAACCAGACCAGAGACCCCCCAAAGTGAACAAAAAATCACAACTTTTCAACCTGAATCTGCCGCAAGTCGCCATTGGTTGGCATGCAGATTCAAACTTCAGCGATGGCGTCGGCAAACGGCATCATCGCCTACGCATGTAAATCTACCGAGAAAAATGGAACAAAATGTCGATCGCCTAGCTAGCTACTACGTGGACGCATGGACCACGAACTGTCACCAACCATGGCGCCATTTGCAGGGACGATCAGCTAGAAAGAAACAAAGATAAAGCCTGAGATGTGAGCCAAAGTTACCAGTTTGCATGCCAATTAAGGACAATGAGTTTGTAGATAAGGACCATGCAGGCTGCTGCAGGCAGAAGCTAGCAGGGCGCCTGCCGATGATGATGCAGATTCAGAATTTCAGATGTGTGTGGCATGTATCCTACTCCCTCCGTCCCATAATATAAGAGA